GCTAGCTTGGTAGCGTAGCTAGCCAACCGCGATCCTACTACCGCGATCCTACGCCTCGCTTCTTATCGCTCTCTTATCGCTACTAACAACACAGCGCGATTGTAGTGCAATCGCGCACATCCTCTAGAGTAGGTCTTGTAGAGTCTTGTGTCGTGATGAATCGGGGGTGTTGAAATTTGCGAATCGGGGGTGATATTTTTACCGGATGCGGGCGGAAACCCTAACGCTAAGCCTATTCTAGCACGAATCACCCCGGATTCGTCGCCTTATATTGGTTAGGATTCGTCGCCTTATATTGGTTAGGATTCGTCGCCTTATATTGGTTAGGATTCGTCGCCTCATATAGGGTAGGGCCTCTTTCGTCGCCTCATATTGGTTAGGCATCGCTGAAACCACTTCGTAGCGCTTCGCCAACATGCCTGGCCTGATTCTCATCATTCTTCGCATCAGAAGTGAGGCTGGCCCGAGAAAAGAGAATCGTTCCAGGGAAACCTGAGGGTACATGTTTGTTGGTGCAGGTACAACATGTAGGAAAAAAGACTACCTAGGTACGTTGATGATGCGAAAGTTCGGAAGTTGCTGTAGCGTAGTAGTAATGGAAGAGAAACTTGGAATTGATACCTTTGAGTCTTCACTGAGAGACCTCTTGTACTATGTCTCACCTTGCGCTATCTAAGAACATCCGCACAGAAGAGTCTACCTCTCAGCCGAAGCAATGCTATCCAGCCTGATGCCCTCATCGACATTGGTCATGCTCTTGGGGCCCTCTGATCGCTTTCCAGTAGCCAACACAGGGAAGCAATATCCGGGATGAGAGACAGTCAAAGCGGTCACCGCGACGACAATCATAGCACCTTCTAGAACGATGAATTCCACCTCTTCTCTCATAAGCTCACTCCTCCATCCGCTTGAGAGCTCTGGGATGCGATAAGCGCAACGGGCAAGGATGGTGACGTACGCCGTGATGATCGCCCCGACGAAGCATTGGAACTTTCGATCATGAAGAAGCTCAATGCCATCGCATCCAATCTCATTGCGATGTCGAAAAGTCCGCACCAGGTACTCGCCTAAGAAGTATCCGAACAATGTGAGACACATAACCTGCCATACGACACCTGCAAGCATAATGTCCGTGCCAATGTCTTGCAGGTCAGATCCAAAATCGGCTGTAGCAGCAATACCGCCTCCAGCACCTTGCAGCACCAGAGAAAGTAGGTCGCAGCCAATGAAGATCCAAGTATACCATGTTGGCCTTAACCTCGACCAGCTTGCCCCAAAGCTGTACACGATGTGCTTGAGTGTGAGGTATATAGCTGCAGATATAAATGCCGGAGCAATGATCAGACAGCAAATCTGCATCTGAAAGCCTACTTCGGAGAACGGATTATCCCACATCATCACCCGTCCAATGTAGCCGACTACTTCTCCAATACACCCCAGTGACATTGCGATGCAGTAGCTCCATGTCTTGTAGCGGATGCCGAGGATGATGTGAATGACTAGGGCTAGGCCGAAGAAGCTGGCGTATGCGGCGTTCCATCCGAGTGATGGGTAGTAGCCATAGATGGTGCCCTCGACGGGACATTCTGGTGTGACTTTTGTGCAGAAATCGGGAGCGGGAGGTGGGACCGTCATCGTAGTGTCAATCCGATTGATGGTTCAAGCTCAAATAGAGGGTTAAGACTATCGAACCAAAAAGAGAGAGCAATTGTGGCGAAAGCTCTGACAGTGGATTTGTTGAGATACTCGCTAAAATGTACAGAACGGCGATGCTGAGGTCGGTCGGTGGTGTCGTGAGGGACATGAATGTAGGATGATAGGACGATATATGTGCGATAGCTCCGTCATCTTCCCGCACAGCCGCATAGCTGACGACGGTATGGGTCTCCATCGCATCCGAGCGATGCAATTTTTACGTTGATGTCGAATAGCTTGCACCGACAAGTCTGTGCAAAGGGCCCGAAGAGCATAGCTAGCCATACGTCACCCGTCTGCCCGGGCGTTCGGTCTCGAGATATGCGAGAGCCTGCTTCGGTCCGTCTGGGTTTGACGCCGTAACAGACGAAGTTCCTATCGTAATGTGGAGCGAAGGTTCAATGCGGTGACAGTTTACCGCATCGGCCCCCGATCGGATTGCTTGGCAGGCCGAGCTCTCGGGTCGGACCGACCACAACACTGCTTACAAAAGTCTAAGTTATATGGTCATGTACTGCTAGCCGTTCCTACTTACTCCAAGCGACTCGCGTCTGCATCGACAACAAAATCCTCTTATCTACATGCTGTGCCTGCAACGCTCAACATGTACCGTCAAGTTTCCTTTGAACTGTGGATTTGTAGCATTGTATCCCAGTCTGTAGCACCAGGACGCTTTCGATGCAGACTGAATGTATGATAGAGAACGAAGATGCCAAGAACGATGAGAGATACGCCAGGTATGTGGGCGAAGCGCCACGGAACGAACCTGGCAACGCTTCGGAGGACCTTGTTCGTTCGCTTTTCGGAGTCAGTCATGACTATGTGCTTTCCTCTCAGATCTGGAATTTTCTCGTCCTTGAACACATGCCAGACCAGACAGAGATTTGTGCCGGCTAGAGTTAGAAGGTAACCAGATACAAGGACTAGCCAGATCAAGAATCTGTAGTATCTGCCGGGGTCTGTGTGTGTGAAAACGGTGTGGAGTGCATGGCCGAAGGTGAAGAGACCGAGCAGTGCAATGTACAGGCCAGGTATGTAGAGGTAGCGAAACGGAATTCGATAGAGGACCTGGAACGTCACGATGTTTGTTGTTGAGGCGTCGGTCATCTTGAGATGCGTGGTAGATGTATGGTGCACGTTGGCATTAGGCAGTGATAGTAGTCGGGTCTCAGAAGATGTTAGGACTCTGATCTGAGAACCTTGAAACCTTGCGATTGCGGTTGCGGTTGCGAGACGCTCAGGTGGCCGCAGGAACGAGGCGAGACATCCCGCCGTTCAACCACCTTCTTACGTCATCGCACGCTCTCTTAGAACACCCAGCCCAATCGTCACAAATTGGCACAGATTAATGCCATGTATCTCCGAGGCTTGGGTCCTAGGCCGTGCCTGATCCCTGGCAGATAGTCGTGCCTCCGGATAGACGGCAGTCACGGCAGTCACGGCAGTCACGGCACTCTGCCCCAGGATTTCTCGGAGATCACGATTTCACATGTACCCTATGCTTACAAAGAGCTGGCGTTTATGGACTTTCATGTTTAGCCAAGGTGCGGGGCTACAGAATAGCCCCTGAGTTAACCGCGGGGCGGCGTGCCGCCTCTCACCCGTCTATCTATCGCGCATTTTGATGCTGTCCTCTACATCTAAGCTTTTGTAGATCCGCAACTTGACTCGATTGCATCTCTTCCACATAATCAGCTCTGTGTGCCATTATCTCTGAAGGTTGTTGCGACAATAGTCGGATGGCTTGCCCATCAATGTCGCTTACAGTAGGGTTCTTGGCTTCGCGGTCCTGTCTGAACAGCATGAAGCCAGCGGCTCTGAGCGAAATCTAACACATCTATGCGATAACTCTTGAGCGCAACCCCCTTGTATGTCATCTTTCTGCATAACGCGTAGTATCATCGCATTACTAAGAGGACGCCGCTTGAGAACGACTACCACGATCTGCTTGATTGGGGCAATTACAAGGTTGTGATATTGTAGCACAGCACTTTCGCGACGTTTTGAAAGAACCAGACGCGACTTGAGGGCAAAAAGGCTAAGCGAAAGATCGATGTTGTGGTCTGCGTGGCGAAAGTTGTTTCTTTCACTAGCAGTGGTGCAACTCAGGGGTCAAGAACGAAGACAGCGTAGAGATGGAAAACTTGTAGTAGAAAGGCGTGAAGAGAAATATGAGACTTATGATAACTGGACTGTTGCACGCATTCATGTCGCACTCACTCCAGGCGATAACTGCGCTTTGCAATAGGCTGACCGTCATCGGTGTGTCCTGTAACAACCTAGTAGATGACGCTCATATTTGTCTGCTAGTCTAAGATAGAATTCCAGGCTAACTTGATTGTATCGACCATCGTGTTCCTTTGAGCAAAGCAAAACGAATATCGAGCCCGCAAGAGACGTTTAGAAGAATCGAAACACTGACTAGAACGCCATGGTGAAGAACATGCTGTATCCGCTCGCTAGCGGAACACTGCGAACATCGCTAGGAACCCAGCGGAGAATTAGATCTATACTTTGGGGATCCGGCGCATGAGAAGGAGCAGCATGATTGGCTCACTAGGGGGCAAACTTTGGAAATTGCTGGACGGCAGTAATAATAGAGAGATTTGAATTCGATATTCTTAAACCTCCACCGAGAAGGCTCTTCTGCTTGGCCATCCTTGTGCTATCTGGATCGCCCAGATATCGTAGTTTGGATTGCGAGGCCGAACCCAGAGAACAGGTCTGTAGGATCAACAGCAGCCTTGATCTTGCGAAGCCTTGCGTAGTTGGCACCGTACAGCCTAGAGCTCCACTCCTTCACGCTGAGTTCCGAATTCACGTAGTTGACAAAGCTGCGGAGCGGGGCAGACTTCATCAAAGTGTTCTCAAACGGTTTGAAAAGATTCTGCATGTATGCAACGCCATCGCTCGGCCAGACACCACCAGCTCCAACCCCATCAACACGGACCAGCCAGAGATTGTTGCCGTGCGCGAATGCGTGATCGCTGTCGGCGACGTCACGGCTGACTCCGCCCCAAAGATCGAGGAACCCAGAACCGGTGATATCGGTGCGGTTGAGTGAATCATATCCATCCAGCAATGCTTTTACTTGCGTCAAGGTGAACGGGTGCTGATTGGTCGTGGTCCACGACTGAACGAGCGACGCGCGGCCACCGAGGGTGCCTCCAGTCGGCAAGTTCATGCCACTACCAGTCGCTGCTACCTCCGACTCCCAGAACGTTGGGATAATGATCTTTGTGAGGTTGACAGCCGGGCTGATAGATTGGAGAGATTCGACAAGTGGCGCAATGGCGGAATCAAAATCTGCTTCCGGCCCATAGAAAAATCCGGCAGACGCGAAGTTGGACAAGCTGAAGCGCAGAGAAAGCGTATCTGGCGCCTGACCATCAAGCACCCATTTTTGGATCGCTAGAAGCGCAGCAGAAGCGGCGTCAGTGCTCATTTCTCCAATGGCAAGCGAGTAGCTCACGGCTCCATTGTAAGGAAGCTCATATGTCTTGGTTGTTGCAGAAAGAGCAACTCCAAAGTTCGAGCCAGCGCCCTGAGCCGCCCAAAGGAGATCCGAACCAGGACCAGCGTTGACAATGGTACCGTTGTAAAGCATGTACTCAACAGAGACGAGATTGTCGGAAGGGATACCGAGAAGCCTGCTAGTCGTGCCGAAGCCACCGCCGAACGAACTTCCAGTCAGACCGACATGAGAACCTCTCACGTGCGGAAAGTGACGTCCAAAGTTGTCGTGAACGTACTTAGCAGTCTGCCTTAGTCAGTAAGGATCCTCTCATGCGTTATCCAGGGCTATTTACAGGTCCCACGTTTGATCCACCTCCAAAGGTCAGTTGATTCGTGGAATCATCAAAGCTCAGTTCGGTGAACGCGCCCATATCGATGACAAGATTGCCTGGGGTTCCAAAGCTGTAGCCTTGGAAGGAATGTCCACGACCAAGGACAGATACCTTCACTGACGCATTCCGTGCACATCCGAGAGCTGATACAACATCGTCTTTGGTTTCGGGAAAGGCGACAGAGACAGGCTGTCGTGGAAGTCGAAATTGGAAGGACGCTGTGTCGTTGGCCCAGGTCTCATCCGTTGATATCGTCGATTGTACGCCTGCGCTTGTGAGACAGGTCTGAATACTGTCTGCTTTGCTGCTCTGGCCATGTACTAAGGTTGGTGCAAGGCAAAGCATTCCAAGCAGACCATGCTTGTACAACTCAGAAGGCGCCATATTCCTTGATCTGGTCTATCTGTGTCAGAGTTTGAGGTTCCAGTTATCGATGTTGAGTCGTAGTGGATGTTCTATCCTGCTCAAGGGAACTGCAGGCTTTCTATACTCAGGAGCATAACCAGGTCTTCGCCTCCGAACGATGGCGCAATGGCCGCTACGGCCCTTCTCGAATTTGAGACCAGCATATGGCATAGTCGCACGCTTCGGCGCATCTCGGTGTACCATCAGCTTTGTTCTTGTTCCTGCCTGATGCGACTGGGCCAAGCCTTGGCGTTCCTTTCACACCTTCCGCAAGGCGTGCTTCACCGCAAAGCATATGCCCGTGCCATCGCATCATGCTTCACTGGATTCCGCAATCGATAAAGCACAATCCTTTATCTGATGTCAAGATAATCGCTCCATCCTTCGTATGGCGACTTTCCTAACGCGGTAAGATACCCGGCGTATCTTGTGGGCTCTCGGAGATTAGCGTCTTGCCCAGGCTGTCACCGATGGCATCCGCTGGCAACGCGTTGCTCAAACGCTGCCATGACTGTGATCACTCGGCGTCCGTTCAGCAAACAAGGCCACTTCACATGAATGTGTGGCCTGGTCCTTGAGGTATCATGCTGATATATGAGATGGCGTCTTGGAAACCTCTCATTGCATCTCTTCGACCATGGATAGCCTGTGGAACAGTGATAAGACGAAGTAACTGGAAGGATGACCGCCGCGTCTAGATATCTCCATTATATCTTGATAGGATACTTCGTGGCGTACTTTGTACACCTCAAGTTCGTTCTTCCCTCGCGGCCCGCTGAAGTCAATCCCGAGCTCAACTCCTTGTTGTGACGACGAATGAGCAGACAGGGCGCTGCACAGTCTTCGAATCGTTAAAGAAAGATTCACGAGGCGTCTGCTGTTATTCCTTTGTGATTAGACGTTGCGCGGACGGTCGTTTTGTGAAGGTGGCGGGAAGCTCGGCGGGACACGATGCATGATGCTTTCATTACACATACACTCTATGCTTGACAGACCAAACAAATGAGTTCCAGATGGTGCGCATCCATAGTGTAGCTCGCTACTCTCAAGACTAGATGTCATCATAAGGTATGTCGAAAGACATGTTAATCGCGTGCCTTGATGCTGTGCAGGAGAAGGATGGCAGTTTATGAGGCTCTGTGGGCTCCTGCGCCCGTGCATCGGACGTGCGCTGTGAACAAACACGCGGAATCGGCCCGAATTATTACTAATCAATGTGAGGCTGTACGGATACCACAAAAGCTGTGATATCCAGACTATCTAGCAGGGCAACGTTTAAACCTATGCAGTAAGTTCCGCCACCATAGCATACGTATTTCATAAATCTCATGGCCGCGGCTGTGTACTGTAAACACGGGTGCGAAGCAACACTACTACTATGCGCACCTGAAGAGCCACATCTCTGCTTGTTCTGACTTCTTGTTGCTGCAAAACTTCTACCCTCTCGTGATACTTACATTCGTGAATATCTGATCGCCTTTGCTTTATCAACAGCATTCCTTTGCTCCCCACTGATCACGCTTTCTCATCACTTTAATTCTCGCTCTCGTGGCACAGTTTAGACTCAAAGTACCACAGAATGATTATGCAAATCATGCGCATCTCGTGGTATGCTGGGCCGCAACACTCCCTAGCGTTGTACGCTTACCAAGTTTCATGAAATATATGATAGCTAACTTTTACCCTAGGCAATGTCTCGGCCCGCAGAAGAAAGGTAGCATGACTTGTTTCATATCGCCATCGTAGGCGGTTTTTCGCAGCCAGCGCTCAGGTGTAGAAGACTCGTGGTCCTTGCATTCGAGTGGAAAAGAACAGACAGCGTCTTCAAAGACGTAGATACGAGTCTGGAACTGAACTGTCTGACAGGTTGAGAGATCACATACAATGTGTTCTTTCATGTACCTTTGCTGGTGCCCAAGATCAAGATTAGATAATCACTCTATCCAGACCACATTCGAAGACGCCCCCCTCAATGAAAGAAGGAGAGTAGAACGTCTTGGCTCTTGTATAAGCCACTTTATATCGGACCTTGGCTGGCTTGGTTTGCAATTTCCGGACTATCCGCACGTACCAAGACACCGGAGTCCAAGATACCGGAGTCCAAGACCATCGGTCTTGGCTCGCGCTTACTGTACAAGGTAGATTATCGAGACCAGGTCGCTGCAAATGGTATATACCACTGACACTTGATCCCGCGACAGGAGCTCATCAAAAGCACTTCCCCGTTTTCTCTTCTTTTCGATTCAACGGGAACATACGAACAAGCACACACAATGCATTCGCTCATCTTGCACTTCGTGCTTCCCACTCTTCTCATGGTTATGCCCAGCAGCGCTTCCCAACTCTTCGCTGCCGATTCTAGAGGAAACGTCAGCACACTTTTACTCACAGAGAACGGGAACACGTCGAGTTTGACTGTTATCTCTGTGACGGCAGATTGCGGACCTAACCCGGCGAGTTTGAATGTTGATTACCAGAACCGCATCTTGTACTGTCTGGATCGTGGACGGGCCCCTGGTACCGAAGGCTCGCTGAACAGCTTGCGTATCGCGGCTGATGGGTCGCTGAGTAGAATTGCGCGGGTGAGCGCGCCGTTTTCAGGCGTTGCTGCTGAATTTTTCGACGACGAGGAGACAGGAGTTCGAGGATATGTTTCTACTTCCTAGTAAGTTATTTCAGTCCCTCACTCTTTTCCCTTCTTTGATCCTGCGGTCTTTACCCGCTCTACGCGATACAAGCGGCTAACGCATCCGTGAACAGTAATAGAAGCGCCATCGGCATATACCGCCTCCCCGATGACAATGGCGGTCTTTCTGAGCCAGCCCAGATTATCTTTCCTAATACGACTGCCATCGGCCCCGTGACTGCGAGGCAAGATCGGAGTTACCTGCACGGCGTCTTCCTAGACCCTACCCGCAAGTTCTTACTCATGACTGATCTGGGTCAGGATAGAATTCGGGTGTTTCGCTACAACCAGCAAACCATCGCGCCGTTAGCAGAATTGGCTCCCTTGGTTACACCGCTGGGATGTGGACCGAGGAAGGCGGTCTTCTGGACTGCGCCGGAGACGGGAAACTTGTTTCTGTTCGTTAACGGCGAGTTGGATCAGAGGGTTTATTCGTATCAGGTTGAGTACAAAGAGGACGGATTGGAATGGAGGCTTGTGGATGATGTTGTATCCATCAGTGAGTACCTTCCGGTGACGACGGCGCCGACGAGTGAGATTGCTATCACGGTGAGTTCTTCTCCTACGATACTTGTGAGTTGTCATGCTAATGTTGTCTCGCCAACAGCCCGATGGTCGCTTCGTGATTGTATCGAACCGCGACGTTTCTTTTCTTGGTTCCCCTATCCACAGAACCAGATCCAGCGATACTCTGTCCGTCTTTTCTATCAACGCAAATGGAACGTTGACACTGGTGCAGCACGCACCGTCTGGAGGCTACTCGCCCCGCCAACTAATGATCAACACGGATGGTGACAAGATCGCGGTTGGTCACCAGAACAACAATACTGTTGTTATCTGGAAACGCGATGTCGAGACGGGTAAGATTGTGGGGGAAGAGGATGGAGGAATGTTGGGTGTTGTGACGCTTTCCGGGCCTGTTGTCTTTACCCAGTGGGATCCTTAGAGAGCAATGCAGTAGCACGCTGTAGCACACATCTAGCCCGAAATTCGTCCTTTACTAAGCCTTAATTCCAGAATTTGTCTTCACCTGCTTTTCAATTCTGCCAAAATGACGAATCCTTGTGGCAGGTTGCTATACGGCGAGTACGTCAAGCCATGGTGCTATTGTTGTTCGCAGCGGAAAACGTTCGGCAAAGTTTTGTACTTCAGATCGGCTATGTCGGATGCTCCTGGTCGTGCATCTTCACAGCGCTACATCCAATGAAAATGCACTGGAAAAAACATGCATGTGGTTGAGATGATTGTGCTGAGCTAAGTACTGGGTGTGACAAGACTTCGAGGTCTATCTAACTACGTAGCCAATTCCCCGCTGCCTGAAACATTTAAAAAAGCAACTGTTCAGCCTTCTTTCTTTACCTTCCATAACCCGATATCGTTCCGAGATCCCTCTGCTACCCTCCGACTTCCGCAACAATTCTAGAGCGCAGAGTTCTTGGTCTTCAGCCATTCCTCGAAGCCAGGAACTTTGGCGTACAGCGATCGCTTATGACGCGAGAGCGCAAACCTTGTTGGCGAAGGGTCCGTAACGGGAGTGTTGCAGATACCAGTTCCACGCTGGTCTGGAGGCACGATGACTGTAGTCAAGGTACCCGCTCCGTTGCTGCCAGCCAGCACGTCGGTGCGGATAGCGCTAACACGGCTGGCGGTCGTGGTACCTTCATTGATGGTGGTGCGAACGGCGTCTGATTCTGGCCCCGGGATGCAGTCTGGTGCAGAGCCAAAGTACCGAGCGCCGATAGCGCCAGTTGCTAAACCCACGGTGAAACTAGAAACGTATGGATTCTTTAGGAAGTTCCAGATGCTCTCCGCTGCTGGCTTTGCGGCATTGATCTGATTGACGGCGTTCGGTTTGCTCAGGGAAGTAGTAGTTGGCCAGGATAGGGAAACCATAGACGCATTCACGGATTCTCCGGCAGACGTCTTGACGCTCGAACAGCTCTTCTGCCTCACGGAGAGAGTTCGGAGTAGAGTCTGCATCCAGCCCGGAAGCGGCGGTGACAGCGCGTTCCATCATGGACGACGACGGATTCTCAAGATCGTATTGAGTGAAGTTGAAAGGGAAGTCTCTGCCATACTCAAGAGGCGCAAAGTTAGCAAGGCGAGCGGTGCCGGACCAATCCTCAGGTTTAACACCAGAGAAGGTATCCTGGGCAATCTGGTTCCAGCGCCATAGTTCGCCATCCATCTCGAAGAAGTCGCCATGAGTGATGCCTATGGCAGAGATGGGGGCTTCTTCTTGAACTTCTCTTCGCTTAGTTTCTCCACTGATGACAGTGAATCCTCCAAACGAGTCTCCCTGGTAGACGTTGACGCAGCCGGTATTGCCAGTCGAGATGGCCTCGCCGAGAGCGCAGTCAACATCATTTGGAAAGAACACCACTGTCGACAGGGGATCGTCGCCGTCCTCAGCAACGATTAGGACGGAGCTGGTTTGCGAACCTAGAGGGCTAGGGTCGTAGCAAGTGCCGTCTTGAACTGCTTGTCGAGCTCGGAGCCTTTCGCCATTGCAATCGAAGCCAGTATAGAACACAAGTCGGTATGCACTTGCTAGTGGAAGCAGACCTGCCAGAAGTGCCGCTTGCTGTTTGAGAAACATGTCGTAGGTGTGTCCTAATCTCGTAAGGCTAACGGAAGGCAGTTGGCGCAATGATGAGACTGAGTGAGGATGAGAGATGTTCCATGTGCTCGAGAAATGCCCGCCTTTTATATTCACAAATCGCTTCTTGCTTGCAATATAGCTGTCTTGGAGGTCGCACCAGTAAGCATGCTTCCGCCTAGTGACCTCGAGTTCATTCGCCGCGATAGCTGTCTTCACTTGCCGGTAGCCGATGATGAGAGAGCATGCCTCAAGGCTATCTCTTAATGGGGCATTGAACAGCTACGCATGTCGCAAGTATGACGGTGCGACAACAGCATAGTCGTGTTGGAGATCGTGATCGTTGGCTTGGTCTTGGTTTAGGCCCCCGGGAGCTGCTCGAAAACTGCATCCAAGCCTTGGTTCGTGATGAGGGATGCAGGAGGTGTACTGGCAGTATGTGAGCTTCAGGCGGACATGTTCAGTTTGCAGTAGTCCATACCAGAGCAACCGTGACCGGTTCCCGACCCTCACACGCCATAGTATGCTAGTCGCATTCTTTCAATGTTGAGGTTAATATAAGTATCCTATGATAACGTGGTAGTGCCTGAACGTCTTCCCATAGATGTCCACAGCGAGTAGTAGAAGCAGAATAGGTAGCGCGGTTCGACCAATGTTACGAGCCCTTTGACAGCGCTTTCTGATCCATCGACTATTCCGTCAAGATTGTTGGTAAGGTCAGCAGGAAGTGCTGATTCGAATAGCCCAGCAAAGCGGATGCGGCGAACCTGTACGCCAAGAAAAGTTCAGGTAAGTACTGTGATCCCCACATCTAATGATAAGTACGGGCCTAATATGTGATGAATACCTAAGCGCTCTGCGGAAGGTGAACCGCAAAGTCTGATAAGCTCCTGTCAACGGCACGCCCCGTTCCTTCGTGTGGTTAGGATGGTCACCTTGATGGTGGACTAAACAAAGTTGGCTTGGCAAGCGACTACACATTTCATGGATCCAATGGCTTTGAGCTTGTCGAGAGCATCTTCATCTTTGACCTTCACGGAAGTCTGTCGTTGTAGAACGTATAGTGCGAGGATGCGAAGTGCTAAGTCCTTCCATGCTGATGCAGGGTTGGATAGAGAAATGGGCCGACCATTCAGGACGAGATGCGGAGGTTTGAACCAACTGTGACTACATCATTGGTTGCATTAGCGATGGGACAGTTGATAAATCAGAGGTATCGATGATGTAATGCCTGTTGCGGAAGGTGTATTCGGGTCCTTCCGAAAAGGATTAGCTGAGCTTGTAGCTCAACCTTGAGGCTGCGTGAATGAACGCCGCCGACTTGGCTTGGTCGCCTTACCTTCGCATCGATTGAGTAAAGTCCTGTGGTAGCGGAGATCTGCGTTGTCTTGTAGATCAAGTCCGAATGGGGCACATGAGTTTAGGTGGGGACGGAGCCTGAGCCGGATATATCGGTTCCCTCGTGCTTGGCGTGGTTGGACCACGAGACAAGAGATGATGAAGGTACGTGACGAAACCTAAGCAAACTCTCGGCACTTTGAACAAACGATGTGGTATTGGCGACCTGATCTCAGTGATACATTACGGTATGGACACGAATGACATTTCGCATACCCGAATCATCTTCGTGCATGTCCTCGAAACGCTCTCCAATATCCTATATAAGGAGCGTCCCGACCTTATCAACACCTCTCCACTCACGAATCCTGCTTTGCATACCTTCTCTTGTATGAACCCTTCTTTCGGACAGCTACCAGGATGCCTAACGACAAAGCCTCCCAATTTGAAGCACCACGCTCACCCAACGGGACGAAGACCGCGTTCGCGAGAAGTCCCGCGACCGAAGAGGAACGTCACGACCCGAGGCATGATATCGACGCAAATTCAGCGCAAAGCGCAAGGTTGACGTACTGGCTCAAGTTTGCTGTTGGGAGTCTCGTAGGCCTGCTTGTCGCGCTCCTGTACGACAGGTATGTAGGCATACCGCGTCGGCCTTGTCCTCCTTGCCCACCCGGATGAGATTTGCGACATTGTGAAAATGGAAGAGAACGGTTGTGGGGTCAGTGGAAGTTGAATGCAGCTCATGAGTTGATGGGTGATAAAGATAATGTGATATTCAATGTGATAAGACGTCTGGTGTTGAAGCACATTTCCTCTCGCGTTGTTGCGTTGTATAGCAAGCAAGGATGGTGGCGTGGAGGTGCGCGTAAACGTCGTCATTGCTGCAGTGAGCAAGGCGTTGGTGATAGATCACACGGATGGTTGAGACACACACCTGCAAGTAACGACGTCGAAGAACGAATCCAAAGCAGGTAAAGCAGGCGGACCGAGATACGCAGAGCATGGTCTGCTCGTGCTGACACGACGGCAACCATTGCGCAACACTAATCTCACCTTCCGCGCACGACCCTGCGCTAACATGGAGCAGCTTCTTGGCCGCGGTCTACGCACGAGTGGCCTACCCTGTGATAGCTTTCCAGCCAGCTGTGTTATTGAAGGGTACTCTTTCAGCGCAAGGCCAGGCGCACTGTTGCGACGACACCAGTGAGATGCTGCTAGTACTCGTCGCAATTCAAGGCGATGGGCGTGCAGGACCACATTGCCTGGCATTGTTCGCTCTACTTGCGCACGAGTGAGGGGTCTGAGCCAGGCTTGGTGCCGCTTCGCTGCCGGGCCGTTGTGGCGTATGCTTGACTCTCCGAGCACCGACTCTGAGTATGGCTGGAATGATTTGTGCACGCCCATGTGTACTGTTGCAGTACATATCGATGGTGTTGAAACCTGCGCGAGAGAGGTCCCACACGTCGCCCTCCAAAAGGAACCAACTATCCAGTTCCTTGTATAACCCGACCGAAAACCGTGCCGTTGGTTCGTCAAGGTGTAACGTGTGCGAGGCGAAGAGCCGTAGAGAGGTGAACGAGGGATGCGTGGCGCGTTGCGCTGATGGCAAGGGCGGTTCGATCGAGGGAGGTGATGGCGACAGACGTTACCACGACGAGGATTGACGTGCGCACTGAATGCAGACCCGGTCCAGCATGGCGTCGCAAAATGCTCGGTGCGCAGATGCGCGCTCTTGCCCGCTGATGCAGTTGCGTGAATCAAGTCGTGGTATCGAGACCTCGTCCCTCTGCATTATTGAGGCCTATACTAGCTCCAATTCCACGTCATGGAGTGCGCGTTGCTGGGAAACATTGGCTTGGTATTGGAGGGCAATGCGCCGAGTGCGCTGCCCGCGCGGAGGGGTTGGATGGATGTGGTCTTGGTCGGGCCAGCGTGTGTGGAGCCACACGGCGCGTCCGTCTGCAGTCGTCGCTTCACGCCGTCATCAGGCATTCCGTGCCGGCATCGCGAAGAGTTTCGCAGGCACTGCGCATGCCAATACAGGGTGTGGCATGGTGTGTTGGTGAGGAGTGACTATGACGTTGGTCGCGCGATAAGGCAGGACAAATTAAGCTAGCTGCTGGCTTCTCTTAATTCGTCTTGGTACTGCCCTCGTACCCGTTGATTTCTACCAGCTGCACAAAACTTCCTTGATCACTGTCATGCGGCTTTCGCGCATGCGATACACACAAGTTCGTCTGCACCGCAATTGCGTCCGGCCTTGAACTTGCGCCTTTGACTCGGCCGCCCAGTGGGGTTTTCGAAATCGACTGATTCGTGCTTCCTAGGATTGACGGGAAGAGGTGAACGAGGCCAAGGCGAATCGATGGCATGCAGGCACAGATGATGCCAACGTTGACTTCGATGACGGACCAGAGTGCGGCTTCCAGGTAATCCCCTAATGTTCTGAGCGTCAGACACGAAGCGTGCGTGGTGAGGGCTAGAACTTACAGGTGATGTTTTCGCCGCGTGCGAAGGAGACAAGAGCTCGCAAGCGCAGGATAGACACCACGGTGACACTGTCTGCGTTAGCATCGCTTCGAGCTTCTATATACCTTTCTCCGATCACGACTTACAAAGCACCCACACTGAACATCAATAGCACCCCAATCTTCTTCTTAGTCTTGAGTTGTAGATTCCAAATCTGTCCAATTGGCAAAGCCAACGTGACAAGATCCAACACTATGCTGACCCCAGCATGCGAGAACGCGAGCGCGTTGTTATTTCCGCAATGACCTTGATGTTTGCCGTCTAAGCTCGTCCACATAAAGCTGACGGGGGTGCATATGAATGCGACTGCGAAGGTGAAGGCAATCATAAAGGCTATGTTGAGGATGATGACTCCCCAAATAGTGGCGCGGAAGCGTTTATCTGGAAAGATCTGCAAGAAGAAGAGTAGGAAGGCGATCTTGATGAAGCCGATAAGGTTGAAGTAGACCATCTCACAGATCCAAAAGAACTATTTCAAAACTGTTGTTAGATGCTGCGGAAGGGAGAAGATTGTTCAGAGGTCGACTTACGCGGAGCATCGATGTTATATGCTCAAAGGGGACTTTCCATATATCCTGTCCGAGCCCGTCGAAGGCTGTTCAAATGAAATCAGCGCAATGCATCTCAAGAAAAGAAACGTAAGCAACTGACCCATTTTATACGTCGTAGCAAACAAGACAGAGTTCAAAGCCTGAAAATCATCAGAAATGAATCGCCCCTGTCGGAGCTTTACCACGTACCAAGACCACACCCATGTTACCATCGTTGAGCCATTGCACACGCCCAACGATTACATGAGCTGCGAATCGTCCAAAGATAGCCGCGGTCGCTAGTCCGAAAAATACAATGTTTACGGTCTTGTACGTGCGTGTTTTGGAGCGGACCGGCATGTTGCAAGTAGTCGTGGTAACGTTGATCGCGCTAAAGACGTCTTTTGGGGGACATGACAGGGCGAAGCAGTCTTGCAGACTCGAAAGATAGGTGGCATCGCTACACATGCAGGGCAAGCTATTAGAGGAATCGCATGCTGGTGTGCTATCACGGCATGTTTGCTGCGATATAAGTAAGCATTCGTTACTTTACGACAAGATCAACGGAAAGAAGACGTACAGCACATGCTGGCAGGTTGGCGAGACCATCAGTCTGAGCGGAAATAGGTAGAATCAGAACTGAAGTGACGGCAAGAATGCAAGACACAAAGAACATTCTCATTCTGGCGGCAGGCTCCTTAGACTGGAGGATTGGCACGTGGGAGAAGAAGGTCTACGAAGCCAAACCTGAAGGGACATTTCAGCTTTATTCAACTGCTACTACGACACAATCAAGCCCCGTTGGAAACACAACAAAGTTTAAACCAGCTTGGCCATTTGGTCTCGAAAAGCCATTTGCAGCACTAATCCGAGTGATGCCATCGTAGTTTTTGTCCGTAAGCCGCGCTGCGCTAAGGTTCAGTTGCCTAACTGAGCAAACCGAGTATGAAACCCCGATTTCCTCATAGCGCAGGCGTAGTACCAAACCTTACCAGGTGGGACAGTAATCACGAAAAGCACTCTCCGCCAGACATCGATCTCGCGAGAGTATTGCCCGGTTCGTCCATGAGTCGTCGATGCCGATTATCTGCGACGCTAGACTGTGCCAGGATTAGCTGTTTGCCCAACAGAGCGCGCCGAGATGCCAAATTGTTAAATCCGTAGCTCCGGGATGGGAAGGGAGAACCGTCGAATTCATTTTTTCCCTCTGTTTCTGTGGGCTTTGGACCATTGGACCCTGACTAGGAACAGGCGGCTCACGCTTGGGTTGTTTGGGACTAATATGGCGCTCATGCCGGGTCGCTGGGCTCCTACCCAGCGATCATGCACGACGAACACGCAACTTGCGCTATCCGGACATAGTCTTGGTCAAACCTTAACTTCGACAAGCCAGAAATTCCTCAGCAAAGCTCACCAGTTCATGGTAGCGGTACATGGCGAGAAGCGTTATGAAAGATGAAACCAAAGAATTGGAACCACGACACCGTTCTCGCGCTTCGGCATGCTATTTCCCCGCTGTCAATCGGTCTGAGCTGTTACACATTCCGCTAAATTGATGTCCACCGTCAAAATCAAGCGAGTGCGTCAACGGGCGGCTGGCACGACGTTTGAAGCGAGGACGGAAGATTGTAATAGACACAAGACCTTGACTGTGCTGATAGTGAGTTTGTGCGAGAAACATAGAAGATAGCAAGCGTCCGAGGCGTGGGGACATGGTTTGTAGTAAAATCTAGAGATTGAGGTCTTCAGTATAGGCAGGTAAGATGACACCCACTCTACATAGATCTTGTGGGAAAAAGCTACATCAAGAAGAAGATATGCTCACTCTAAAACCAAACACCCTCGTCCTCCACCACCTCACCGTGGTCTGAAGCCGCCAACAGCTCGCGCACAGTCCACGGCTTGTATTTGTATCCTGGTGGAATGTTGGTATTTTCAAACGGAGCACCAGTAAGCAAGTGCTCAGCAGCCTTGTGGTAGTTATCATGAGTGTACTTTTCTGGGTCGTGAAGAATCAGCCAGTCTCCCACCATCTTTTCATTTTTCTTCGGAGCTGCATTCTGACTGCTCCAATCAGTATTGTGGAAGACTTCACGGTTTTTGAAACCCAGTTTCTGGGCACAGGAAACGCGCTCGAATCTGATCAAAAAAGTTTCAGCTGGTGTTGTGCGTATGTATAGGCATAGCTTACCTCAGCTTGTTATGAACTTTGGTGGCAAGCTGGACGTTCTCTCGGCCAGCAAGGCTTAGGCATGCTGCCAGCGAGTACCCATCTTCCATAGCCATGGTTCCGCCGCTGAAAGAGGTCGGCAAAAAGGGGTGAGCTGCATCTCCCAGCTGGACAACGCGGCCTCCTTTCGACGCCCATTGCGGCTGCGGGTCGCGCCACATCAGCTTCCAGTCGAGGCACTCGTCTCTTGGTGAGGCCTTTATGAGCTCAATTACCAAGGGGTCCCAGCCCTTGACGGCTTTTAAAGCGTTGTCAGTTGATGTTTTCTTTGACCAGCTCTCCGTGGCATCGCTGTGCTCATCTTTAGTTGTCAATAGATAACAAAAATCACCTCTGAACTGATGAAGTACTACATGGGTACCCGGGCCGATGTACAGAAAACCTTCCTCGTCCTTGCCAGCAAATTCCTTTGCGGTGATGGGGCTTTTTGTGAGCAGCTCAGCTGGGTAAGTGCAGCGGTACATGACGAAGCCTGAGCTAATGGGTGCTGCTTTGTTCCCATCCATCAAGTCGCGAGACTTTGACCCAACTCCGTCGGCTGCGACGACCACGTCAGCCATTAAGCGATCGCCGCCTTCAAGAACGACACCAGCCTCATTGTCACTCTCGATGAACTCCACTACTTTTGCTCCGAAAGTGATTGAAATGCCTTGTTCCTGGGCGTAAGAGGTAAGAAGACCGTGTAGCGATTTCCGATAAACGTTGAGTGTTGGGTTTTCTATGTCGCCGACTGTTTCGCGCTTGATAAAAGTGCCATCGAACTTGCGCATCGTAACGTCCGGTTGTCCAGAGATTGCTCTGGCTCGCTCCATGAATCCAGGCCATTTCTGTGGCGTCACCAAGGCCGGGCTTGTCACCATGATAATCTCACCTATATATTTGACATCAGCATCTATAATTGTGCCATTCTGCAAAGGGACATACCAGAGTACTGTCCTTTATCGTTTCGCTCAATCACTCGTACCGTATGGCCTTTGCGGTAGGCCTCAATCGCGAAGGCAAGCCCTCCGATTCCGCCTCCAACGACAAGGACATCGATGTCCGTGGGAGGATCTCTCTGCATCTCGATTTTTTGGGTTCCAAGAATATGGGTAATGGGATACAGGACGAATTGGGAAGAACGAGGTGTGTATCTGATTTTTGTCCATGTTGCTATTCATCACATAAGAGTCGATATATATACCACTCGACATGGCCTCGAAGCATCGCACCTCCCTCGCCATGCATTAAACTGTCGGTCGAAAGTTAACGGATGAAAGGGTCGGATGATTACAGAGGTTTCACGATGCGATGTCCAAGCGGATTGACTTCCCGAGAGCACGAATGTTGTACTGTTGTACGAATGTAACCACGAGGCCTGCTCAATTCCCCTAAATTGCGACCCAGAAACGAATATCCATGTCTAAGTGGATGCGCCGACGGCCCTGACCAAGAACTCTTCTCGAGCTCCAAGTCTGGATTGGACCGCGAACGATACTTCCGGCATCCGAATGGGATTCTCCACAACTTTAGCATTCACAAACAAGCTTCATTGTCCGCGGAACTGCACACGGAAGCCTTTCGCTCATGCACCGCCAAATTTTCTGCATTAAGCAACTTGCCCTAAGAAAGGAAATTGTGAGGCGACGTAGCAACGTAAACAACCTTGCATCGTGCCTAGGCATGTACGGAGCAATGTACGAAGCAATGTACAATGTGGATTGATCGTCGCTAGAAAAGAAGTTAGGCTTGGCTAGGTACTGCAAAAACGTAAAACTAGACGTATGGTGTCTGGAATAAGTACAAAGATCATCCATAGATAATCTATTCTACTCTGCTTTACTCTACCTAGGAAAAGGCGGTTCATGCTTGTATGTTTGGGAGAAACACGGCGTTCGTGCGGGTTCGCTGGGCGTAACCTCTACGAAATCTTCAGTTTGATAAACCAGAACTTTGCAAGGAAAGTCCACCAGCTCATACATGGTGAAAGCACTCAGGTGGTGTGCCAAGTAAGGAGTGGTTGTCGTGTCGTCGATGACGCCGACGGCATGACGCCCGTCTGCCGGGCGTTGTCCGTGCGCATGCCGCTCGATTAACTACGTTCAAGCCTAGCCAGGAACGAGATTTCGAATACAATCATTCATTATCACATGACGTTTCATTGAGTACACGTGCGACAAGATGACTCGTACAGGGCGAGTAAGTAGTGGTGATGAGACCGAACGTCCAGCGATAACGTACAGGAACGACGAGCCGGGAGGAAATATGTCTCAATACTAGACGTCATATAACATTAAATACTACAGTATCAACCTTACCCATCAACTCGGCAGCTCCTGCGCCTCGCTCTTGGGCCCTTGATTATGTCCATACTTGACATTTGCCGGCAACTCGCTCATGCTCAAAGCGTGCACCTCAGACCGGCTGGTTCTCGGACTATACGCAGGCGTCGGATCGTAAGCGGCGCCTCCAGCGGGCTGTGCGTACTTATGCACTGCGGAGGCCTTCCTGGCTTTCCTTCTCTGCCACCAGAATATCACAAAGCCAATGGCGGCGAGAGCGGCGATGCCACCGATGACTGGGCCCGCGATCCATGCTTTGCTTGGTGAAGAGCCGGAGGAGGTGTTGTCGCTGTCTGAAGAGGCTATGGTGGCATAGGTGGCGTTTGCTGAGTCGATGACTTCGTTGATCGTCTTTTGTAGGTGGCAGTTTTGGTAACCGTCGTCGAGGCTGGAGGAGTATAGTACTGCTGTACAACCATCCTTGTTAGCTGCGCATGCGTCCATGCAATATGTGATGTTCTGCGCTTGCAAGCTAGTGATGTTCAGGCCTTGGTTTAGTTTCCCGCAATGGATGTCAAACTGGGTACCGTTCGCTTGGCCTCCGGAATGATACACGTTGTCCTGGGGACATGCGCTATCTGGGGTAGGAGCTTCGATGATGGCGGCCGAGTGCATGGTGCCTTGCTGTGAACTGGGTTGGCCCAGCTTTGGGTTTTGATTACCGAACCTGGGCCAGCAGTTTGCGAAGCCGACTTGGAGACCTGGGTTCCAGGACACTATGCGACAACGGGGGTGCAGGGCGACGCAGAAGCCCAGGCATTCTTCAAGCGACTCGGCGTGGTAAAAGTAACGAGCCGGATCAAGGCAGGGATACTCGTCTTCGTCGAAGCATTGTATCTCGCCTTGATACACCTGATTGCAGTTCGTAGTGTAGGCGATGCCATCGACACCAGCAAGTTTCTGGTAATCCTCGTCCGTACATGCAGTATCGAAGCCTTTCATTTGATTCCGATTGACGAGGGCAGAGACCGATCCAGTGTCTGGTTTTAGGTCCGATGTCGAAACATTGCTGTTTCTTAACCAACAATGTCCTCCATCTACGGTCCAGTGAACGCCGAAGCAGCCTTCGCCGTCTCCCGCAAAACGTGAGCAAAGCTCTAGGCAATCTCCGTACGTGGGTGTGTACAACCAGTCGTAGTTTCCTTGCGGGTTTATGTATGCGTCTAGCGTTCGTCAGCTGGGAGTTCCGTCGCGAAGCAAGTACTAAACGAGGCGCACCGTTGTTTGGGTTCCTCTGCCCGCAGTACATCGTAAAGTTGAGTCCATTCTTCGTCGAATATGTCCCTTGATCGTCACATTGTCCAATCGTATTTTCCCGTACTACGAGGTCCCGCGTCGTTACTGGTGCAGCCGTCGGCGTCGCGCCGCTAGCGCACACGAATGCTAGCAAGATCTGGCATGTCAGGGCCAGCATTTTGTAGGGTCTTGGTTCCGTGTAGCGTTCTCACGCCGGTGGTGGTATGGGAAGCGGAGAGCGAGGACGCGCAGAGGCAAATCTGGGATCGGCCTAATTGTATCTTCTTGCTGGCATTGCACCAGAAGAAAGCAAACGTCTAGACTAAAGGGCGTTACGGCATAACGGGCAAGCCAGAGGCGTTAGGCGTCCAAACGTTGGACAGCGTATCGTGGCCCCCAAATTAGATGAACCCTGGCCCCCTATGAAACCTTGCTAAAGTCGTTGCAAATGTGCATCGCGGAGTATGCACGACGGGTGGGTAGAGGCAACGCTACCTTCCACGATATGAAGCGCATGCTGTGAGTGGACATTATAGATGCATAAGTCAGAAGAGGTCGGCGACCCGGCGACCATTAACAGATTGAACAGGGTGCTGTTTTGTGGGACTAGGAACGCCTTGTAACACCAGTTGGCGCCTCACCAGACCCCTGAAGTCGAGATTCGGTAGTCGCTCGATCGTATGAACCGCATACCTGCTATGTTGTTCCAACGTCGTTTATGATTTGACTTCCTTTTCGTTACGACAAAAGAGATCAAGCAGCTGGATGTTAGCTTTCCGACGGGTTTCGCGGTATGGCACCAGCCTCAGGGAAAATGGGTCTTGTGCAGGCATCGTTGACGCGGTATGGTTATCGTAATCTGTGTCGCCAGGGTTGCAGCTGCACAGCCGATCACAGCAAAACCAATGAATGCTCAGCTATCGCAGCAATCAAAATGATTGCGCTTGACATTTCCTCCTCTTTAGTACCGTTGCGGTAAATGCACAGTATTGCTGTTGCACTCGGCGGTAAAGTCAGCAGGCAACGTTTGGCAACGACGTGCACCTCACATGTATAAGGATTCAGTATCTTGGAAACTGAAAACCTGTCTCGCGACCGAGTGTGTCGCTGAGTTCGAGCCGCACTTAACTCTGATGGTCGCCGAGCCCAGGCCAGGTCGGCGAAATGCTCCGCGAGGCGGGGTGCGCGCGCAGAACTAAAGCTGCGGGCCCTGCGGAAGGAAGCAACCGGGCGGCCATATTGCGGGGTCTTCCATGCAGATAGCATGCCATGTTGTCAGCCTTGCTCGAGACCCAGCTGCCTGACCGGCGGTCAACAGCAGGCACCTTTCACAAGATAGGATATCGCAATTCTCATTCCGATCACATGCTAATCATATATCCGTCATATCCTGAGCACCGTCTCAAACAGCATAGAAACAAGCCTCAGTGTGTCTGCTGCGCGAAAAGCCCTTAACTGCGCAGTTTGTGCTATAGAAGATGAAAGCCAGGGTCGCTGTCAATGTGTTTCTTCTCGTCGAAATAAGCTTCGGAAATCAAGTATGATATCTCGTGTGGCGAGGCCTTCGCTTATAGCCACGGAATGAGCTCCAAGCGTTATTCTGTTGCTTTTCTATGCGAGGAGATCTCGGCGCTCCATGGTGGGTCGGCGAACGTTGTAATGATGAACGTGACCCAAGGTGGGCCGAGCGGCTCTATCATATGTTCCGTATACTGGAGCATAGAGAGGAGAACGGTTGATGATAGCGTCTTCAGCATATGCACCTGGTAGTTCGTGTAGAACAAGAAGAGAGTAATGTGTTTGTTCTATGTAAGAGGGAGGAAACCCTGACCTATATAGTAGGAAGGGAGTTACTAGTGAGTGAAAGGAAAGTAACACGTGATAGGTATCTAAACCAACAGTTCGCAGGTAGTTGGTGACCTAGAAACGGAGATGATAGCATTGTGAGTGAGTATAAGAAGTTTAAAAAAAAAGCTATAGCTTGGCCGTGAAGGCTGAGGTACTTTTTTTCACTTGTCGTCTGCGCTGGACATGGTAATTGCAGGCAGGCGGGGTCTGGGGGGTCTCATTGGTCAGCTTACCTGCTCATCCACGCTAAAGATTGCAGTGCACGACAGACGTCAGCGGGGCCGCTTTGCTCATGTCTATTCCGCTACCTCGCGACCTTTACATCCTGCGACACATCACCCACAACCGCGTCGCGTACAACTGTTCCCATACCGTCATTTACTATCATCCGCAGCGCATGCTATTCAGCCGATGAAGTAACTTATCATGGTCTATCACTAACCTTAGCGACCCATTCGACAAGCCTCCTTCCTCCTTCCAGCTCCATCGCGGTCCTCGCCAGCGCAACGGCAACAGCTCGCTCGATCGTTAGCATCTCATCCACGGAACTGGCTGCTGTTGTCTAGACGAACAGTGATGCCATGCATGTAGCCGGCATGTGAGGAGGTTCCTATGCTGACTCTGAAGAGCGCGAATGATGGCACAAGAGGACGAATGTGTCAGGGAGGTCATATCTTCGAAGGGGCCGTTTCATGAAGGATATAGGAGGGAAGATTCAACCTTCCGCGATCCGATACACATTGACCGTCAATGACGAAACCAGTGTTCGTTATAATCGACCTATGCCCCGCTGCACTCACGACTCGATCCCATGACGAAGCGTTGCGGGTCGCCACTATGTCCATCGCCACCATCCAGTCGACCGAGATCATAAAGACGGACTCCTAACGGCTCTTCCCCAACGGTCAAATATCCCAGTCTGGCAACGAACACGGCGATGCACGTGTTAGTAAACGCCTAGTTTGAGTATATGATGAGATGTTATGTGCTGTTATTGATGCGACAGGGACATTACGCAGAGGGAAGTTTGAGATTCTGTCAATGATAGTCCACGCGTTCGGCGTTGCCCCAGGTCCCATCAGCGGTAGATGTGACATGATTTGGATTGTGATACTGGTACAAAGGGGTCAAGCCATGCGCGGGTACAGCCACGTCGAAGGGAGCTTGTTGTTCGGAAGCCGCACGTCTTTATCGCTCTGTACCTGACTTCTGGTGCAACCGAACTCAACGACTTGTCTGTCGGTCGGACTCGCAATGGCAAACACCCCCATCGAAGATGCGACAACCGGTGCGCTTTAAAGAAGACAGTCTACTCAATCGAAGGGGGTGATCGGAGATTTCATACTCGAGTCGACAAAAGGCGCCTAGTAGGGCAGCTTACGGCCGTCGTGAAGTGACGCCTATGTGAGGCCATGGGTCCGCTACAAGGTTCGTCTCACTCACACATTGTCACAGGATCCACAGTGATACCCATCGATATCACACCAGAGCGCAACAATGGCAAGGCAACGTGAGCTCGTTGGTGTAATGATCGGTACATCCGAGTTAGAAGGTAATGTCGCGTGCTACGGATATGTAAAGACGAGCCTTTTATCAAAAACGTTTTATATTGCCTACTCTGCACTGCATTCTCTAGCGTCTGTAAGGAATCCCCTCTAATCTATCAAACTGTGGGGTACATCGATCATCACTCAAGACTAAAAGACCTTTCCGACCATACCGTTCCTGCGCATCATGCCCGCCTTCGACTCCAGAGCAGCGTACGACGTCGCCGCGTAGATATCATTAGAAAAGTCAAAGAGATTGTCAACGCTAATCTCTTCACTGGGTATCGTCCAGCCAATCTCTGTCGGCAAGCGCTCGTTGACTGTTCGCTGATCAGCATGCGTCGACCTAATCACCATGAATAGGATACATACCAAAGAAGTACTCCACGAAGTCTCTGCTCGCTGTCTTCTCCGTCTTGTTGCCGAATACGAGCATGTATCCGGCACCTTCGCCCGCACTGAAGTCTGCGGCCAAGTCCGACAAAGCGAACCTGGGGTTGTACTTCACCGAGTCGATCATGCGAGCAAGTCGTGCGTTGGCAGCCATCTGGATAGTGATCTTTTCGTCGGTCCAGTAGGCGCGGGTTTGATTGTATATGGTGGCGTTGAAAGAGACGGCATCGTCATTGAAGAACTTGTCGGAACGACTGGATAACGGCTCGTGTCAGTCATGTACTCAAGATCGTGAGGACCCTGGCTTGCACTTTGAAATGAAGAACTTACCTCAGACTGGCATCATGCTCCAAGATGTTGTGATTGCCCAATGTATCGAGACCCCAGGTTGTAGCATTCGGACCTGGGTTTGTCGTGAGCGCGAAGTTATACAACAGCTCCGAGATGTCTTCGCTGATGTTAAGGCCTGTCAAGAGAGCGTGCTTGACGGTGGGGAGCGTGAAGTTGCGACCCTCACGAGGTAAGAAGCCGTGGTTTGCCAAGGTGTTCAGCATAGGGCAAGGGCCTCGAGCTGGACGGTATCAGCATTGGTCGTGATGGCTTGAGCAAAGGCGGTTGGATCGAAACGTACATTCTCCAGGCCTAGCTGGGTGCCAGCTTTCTAAAGAGCCTTGGGCGCTGACGAAGCCAACACTCATGAGAGCACCGATGATGAGAGATGGCATGTGCATTGTTTCAGTTTGCTTGGGGACGAAGGGGAGATTGATGGTAGTACTGGCAAGATCCTGATGGATGGTATCGCTGTGGATTGAGTTGCGATGGGTGACTTTACGATCGTCTTATAGTGTATCGCCTGGACTAAGATGAGCACTCTTGCATAGCCTTCACCAGGTCATGTCGCTAGTATCGCAGCCGCGCCATGTCTAAAACTCCTCTCGGACGTCTCTACAGTGCCCATTACGTGGACTTTCCCCAGCCGATGCTCCTTTCGGACCATGACGCGAGATGATGCGAGATGATAGTACTCAGGTCCGCCATCTGCTTAGTGGTAGGATTTTATCCATGTCCGAGATCCCGAACGACATTATGTTAGATATGCTGCAGTTTTGAAACAGTGGAGACAGAGCCGGGTGAATTAGCAATGCCTGCGTCTTCAATGGTCAATCTGGACAGGGGATTTGCTTGTCGGTAATCGTACAACAGATGTCCGAATAGCCCGACGACCCAAATTTCCTTCAGACGCATTTGTAGTCATCATGTTATAGTAGTGCGCCGAGTGGTGGGACGACTAAGGTACCAGTGTACTTCGTAGGCGTGGGCTGGCTTCCTAACAGCTTGCTTCGCCCATCACGCACGGCTATGGGAGGCATACGTCGTCAAGAAAAAGAAATAAGCAACGGCTGTGTACATGCAGCCACACGAGCATGGCATCCAAGAATAGACAAAGTCGCGAGGGTGGTACCGGCTGAGGCGCAGCGGCATCGCGTAGCGAGGAACGCGCAAAGTAGCGAGACTCGGCAGGGCACCCTCCCGCCCGTCACCACTCGGGACGCCAAGACAACCGCATCCGGGTCATGATCCGCTGCGAATTGGTGGGGTAGGCGGCGATCAGTGAGGATCAAGTGATTGTCGATATATGCCGTGGGGATATATCCGAGTTTCGAGGCTACCATAGTTCCGGCTCTGAGCACTACCAGCGTCTTGCAAAAGCGCTGCAAGATTGTCGCTCAAGTCAACTCACGTCGCGCTGCAATCTCCAGCGCATGGAAAAGGTGACGCAGTGGCCAATCATATTGTTCCGCGACCTGTATGTCGTAGAACTAGTCATTAGCCGATGACCATTGAACGTCGAGGCAATAGGATACACCACGGGATGTCATCACGTGCTTTTACGAGCCAACCAATCACAGGATCATTGGCCCGCATGTGCCCACCGGATGAATAGCATGTAAGATTTCATTAGTCTGCACACGCCCTGCGACACCTTAAACGCCAAGACATCCGGTCTTGAGGGCATCCTGATATGAAAAGTTCAGCCATGGAGAGAGACGATATCATCGAACCCTGAACCATTAATGAACCACTTGGATAGTTCACATATGTTAGGCAATGGGGTCCTGTTGCATCGTCAGTGAACCAATACTTCCGACCCGCGATACACGCACGCGCAGCATCTACATCACACAGCATTCCAGGATTGAAGGGCGTCGGTTTGATTATTACTCTCGCTGCTACATTACAAAAATATCAACTGTAAGGGTCTTCTAGACTGCGCCATTATTGCCGGGCCTGTCGTGTATTTTCTTATGTCTTGTGAGATCGTTAAGTCTCGTGAAAGCTTTGCCACATTCCTCGCACTCGTGTGGTCTTTCTCCTTTATGACTGAGCTCATGATCCCTACGATGGTAGCTGCGTGAGAATGTTTTCCCGCAGATCGAGCATGCATGATTCGTGTTCCCGCGTTTGGGTGCGATAGCAGAGATAAACGTCTCTGCTAAATCACTCTTGTCAGGATGGAACGTCCGAGTGTGTTTCTCGAGATCCTTTTCATTCACAAACCCTTCTGCGCCTACGCAGTCCGGTATCTCGCATTGGTACGGTCTTTCGTGAATGTTGACATGCCGCTCACGAGATTTCTCGTCTTTAAATCCCTCAGAGAAGTATCGGCAGGTGATCCGTGTGCATTTATAACGTCGCTTCTCGTTGTAGAATTTACTGTACGCTGTCTTCTCTTCTGCTGTCGGACCAGGTTTGGCTTTGTGAAACTCCTCAAGCATTTTCCGGTTCCGATCTAAGGCCTCCGAAAGATCGCTAATGCTAATCTTGTGTGATGCATCGAAGCCTTTCTGTTGGAACGTGTAGATATGGCTAGTGAGCTGCACAACATGCTCGTATAGACCGAGATGTTCAAACACCCTGCACTTGGTCTTGCAGTCATCCACAAGTCCTTTCGCCCAATCCACCTCACTATAGCGCGTCATGAAGTCTTCCATGGCATTAAAGATGGCAGATAGTAAAGCTACCTGGTCCTGAGCTTCTTCAAGGAACTTTGTGCCACTTGCCACCCACGCATTGATGTGGTGAAACCATTTCGCAATCGCGTAGTCTTGGAACGCGAGTGATCCATCCAGTGCGTATCGCCGTCGTTGTACGACATCGTCAGGATTGTCAACATCGAAACAGGGGAAAGTCAAGTATTGCATACACAATGTCGCAAGCTCGCACTCGATAGATGGCTCATGTATGTCTTTGGTGATGGCAGTGATGTACCTAATACTGTCAGCAAATTAAGCTTCTCGTTGGGAGTGAGAAGATTACGTTTTCGCCGTGCTATGAACGAGGGTTACGCGGTCCCCGTTAACAAGTACTAATGAGCCACAAGTGACGTAAATGTGATCGCGTACCCGCTGGTTTTCGTAATCAATGATCTGCCTCTCGGGATCGATCGAAAGCGCGACTTGCATCTCTTTCCATGTGAGCCTGCGTTTAGCACAAACTAACCTAAACATCCGATAGTTATTAGCTTTCGATTCACACACAAATTGGAGTTAGGAACCACAAACCATCCAAGCAGCTTCTTTGCTTTCGGCCAACCTCTGCCAGACGTAGTCTTGATACGTCTCAGGATTCGCTCGTATCTGCTAGTGTATCAACGCAAGCCCATGTATTGGTACAGGAATATGGATAGATTGAATGCCCGTCTCTATACATCTTTGGGAATACTCACGCGTCTGCTAGCTTGTGTGGAAAGTTTTCGGTCTTGATACTGTCTTTAAGCTCCGCTAGCGTAGTAGAAGCATAAAGGTCAAGTAAAACAAGTTTGGCGTATAGAAACATGCCTATAACAACGTTAGAGACTATAACAGGATTGGGTTAGCGATGTACAGCATACCTTTTGCGTTGACTACTGTAAGATTCTGAAGGTACTCTTTCATATCCTCTGAGAATGGCGGAAATTTTGATGCGATCTTATCTACCCATAGCCTGGTGAAAGCTCGAATATCACCTTCGTTGTCCGTCTCGGAGATCCGCAAGATTATTGGTGCAACCTTGTTAGATGCAGTGCTGTTAAATCCTTTTCGAATATCAATAAGATCTTGGCTAGCAATGAGAAGACGGAGTGTGCCTGGGTCGATCGTGTCGCGGCAACCTACGACTTCGGTCAAGATGTCCAACACCTGGCTCCTTTCTGCCTTCTCACATTCATCCAGCCCATCGATAACAATGAACGATTTAGGTATGGTATTACAGAAGTCCTCCAGGAGCTTCTTCGCTTGAGAAAGTGACCGGAGCGATGGCTCTCCGCTCGATCTACGCCTTGTGAAGCAAGGGGGCAACATCTGCGGGTATTGATCCAAGAGTTGGTCAACGAGCCCCTTTAGTATACCGACTGCAGTGCTACTCATTGGATCACCATCGTGACAATAGAAATAGCAAGTCAGGAATCCCGGCTGAGCTTTACACTCATCAATGATGGCCGATGATAGTATCGTCTTTCCTATTGCTTATCAGCGTTGAACTATGTTCACTTTGAGCGTACTAACCAGCACCAGGAATTCCATACATCCAGACGACTGGGCTTTTCGGTACATCGGCGTGTATCCAATGTTTGACAGTTTTGTGCTGCGATATCCACTTGGTTGTAGTGGCATAATCTGCTCGGATTTTGCAGTAGCTAGCATGATCAAGTTGTGGTAACTCTCCTACACTAAGCCATTCCTTGACAACCATTAGGTTCTTGGTTTCTTCTCGCGCGACGTTTTCCTCGAGCTTTGCTTTGAAATCTGCGACATCATCCTGGTAGAGGCGGTATTGGACGAGGTTAGCACGGCATTCTACGATGTCTTTGTGACGGCGAAGACTGCTAAGAATCCCATCGAACTTGGTATGGAAGTTCTTCCACCTGTATCCCAGGGTCAATTGTATATACAGGCTTACTGGGTTTCCTTCTATGAGGAGCACCTACATCGACTTGAAAAACCGAACCCATACTGAATCACTCTTAGTCTCTAGAAATGAAAGCGACATATGCGCTATCACTCACATCTGCCTGAGAAGAATTTGCACGCTTGTTGGTGGAAGTCCAGTATGTCGATGTAAATCAACTCGAGGGCATCAACCATGTGAGGTGAGTTGCTGAACAATGAGTGATACTCTGCTAACAAAGGTAGTTGCTCGCCAATTCTTTTGTACGCATCCAGAAGTGAATCGAAAGAGTCTGCAAACGTACTAGCTGTCTGTGCCGTATGTCAGTTGAAGCACTACTTTACACAGCTAGCAAACTCACCAACAAGAGGAACTTCATCGGGCCCCACACGAACGCGACTGCATCCGAAACGTTGAGGAAGATCTCGATGACTTGGCCGAACTGGTGCATCGCTTCGAGACAATGTTTGATGCGAGCAAGACTCATCATCTCCAGGCGAGCCTCTTGCTTCTCCTGAACTTTGAAAAGCTCTTCGCGCAGATTATCATGTGTAGTCCCCTTGAATTCCATGAGTTCTGTGCCATTGAGTCGATTGCGGAATTGGATGATGGCTCGGTCAAGGGCGGCTCCGGCTGCACGTGGTGGTGGGGTTGTGCTTCCTATCACTGTCGATTGCTGAGAAAAAGCAGTGGTCGAGGTGCGACTACTCTGCTGCGAAGGCATCGGGGTCGCCATCATCCATGATACTCAGCTACCACGCCAAGACACTCATATGATACTATTCGATATATGCAATCAGAAGCTGCGCGTTATGTGCTTCTACAATCTGGCGAAGTTGCGGTAAGTATAAACCAGATGTGAAAGTCGTAGGTAAGAAATCGACGTTCCTATGGATGGGGCGGAGCAAGGCTGAAACGCTGCGCGTGGCTCACCGGTGTGCAGGAGGCTGCGACTCAGCCTTCCGCATGCACAACACTGAGATGCGTCCAATTCTCCAGCATATCTGGCTGTGCCTCCCTCCTCCACATTTCATTTGAAAGACCTTGACCGTTGATTGAAGTTGCACGTCTTCACCAACCCAGGGCGACTCATCGAGGTAGCGCGTTTGCCAAGCCGCTAATATACCACGCGCTTACGTCACACCCAAGGTCCAGATGGCGCTCAAGCACCTACTGAACGACGAGGAAGCCGGCGACGACTACCAAAACAACTACCGGCCGAATGTGCAGTCCAGAAAAGACGATGATTCAAATCAGTATGCAGTAAACGGATTGTGATTGTTGAAGCAAGGCTGACAAGTGTAGGTTTATAGCGGCTTTACCAGCTCAGTCTTGGGACCGATACCTGGACGAACTCCTTGGCTCACAAATCGCTCGATGTGACCTCGCTCTTGATGGAGATCAGATTGAGTTGTACAGCTCGTTCCAGGAAACCAGCGCCGATATTGAGGAATGGACGACCGGAGATGCGTCTCATCGACTTCTCGACCAACCTCCACCCGAGGAAGCGTACGTATGTTACGGCATGGTGAGTAAAATGCTATGTGATCTATATGACGAGTTCATTTGGACCTCTTTCACCCGAGTGCCATCACTAACCACAACCAATCTCTCTCTCGGTTAACTGACACGCATCCAGGTTTTCAGAGCTGCCGTACGGCTTTGCGGTAACATGATAGAGCTCAACAAGAAGCTCAATATGATTGCGCTATCACCTCTTCACGGACATGCTCAGATGGTGATCATCAAGCCCGAAGCTCAATTTCTGGTCGCTTTCTCAGACGGAGCAGTTGTGGGAGAGGTGAATGCGCAGCTGGATAAAGCACTGACTAGCATTGCGGAACAAGGTTATGAGCTTGACCTCGAAGTTTTTGCCCCGACAAGAGCTATTCAAGACATTATAGGTCGGGCTAGAAGAGAGAAAGAAGCTGTAATTCGGGTTCAAGTGAACGTGTATGGCCCACCAGCAGCGGCTAACGAGATTGGAAGAGAGCTCTCTCAACACAAGCTTTACCTCCAGCGTCCTGCGTACGTCAAAGACGGCGTTAGATATAGCAACCCTCATATGCTTACGCTCCCTGAGTTTGAGAACTCAATGACGGTGATACGACCATTACTAGAAGAGCCTGTACCTGAGAAGCCTAGCCTGCAGACGTTCAAAAACACGATTCAAGACGTATATTCATCACTAACGCGCGATCGTGATCTGAGTGGGCTGGAAGGTGACGAGCGCCTTGATACCACACTCCTATTGTATGTAATCACGCTGCTGCAGAACATGCAAAATACCTTCCGTGACTAGGTGTGATTCCAGAATTCCATACTAAGCGACACAGGCACCAGAAGACAGCTCTTGCCTTTATGATGCAGCGCGAAGATGGTCCGATACCAGAGAAATATGCGCTGTGGAAAGCCATTGAAGAGGAAGGGCTACAATGGTAAGTACATGGCAAACAAGCTAGCTTGCTCTTGCTAATCGAAATTGCAGTTACCGGCATGCAATCTCAAACGCGCGCTGTAGGTTCTGTCGTCCATAATAGTGAGCTTCAAAGCATACTAACAAATCTGCAGGCATGTTCAAGCCCGAGGAAACAGGCGGCGGTATCCTCGCAGATGAGATGGGAATGGGCAAGACCCTCTCTATATTAGCCCTCATTATACGAACGCTGCATTCTGCACATGATTGGGCTACTCAGAATGAGACTTCAGAGGGTGAGATGTCGCAGACACCAAGATGCAATCGCCGTTCCAGAGCAACCTTGATCGTTGCGTCATCGGACCGTAAGTGAATCATGGCTTTGTTTCAATCACAGCTTCTGATTGTCTCCATACAGTCATGATCAACGAGTGGTTTCAAGAGCTAGACAAGTGAGTGAAGACAATTGCATGAATATGGGTAAGAAGCTGATGATTGAAGGCACTTTGACGAATCTTCCCGTAGAGTTTTGAAAGCCATCAAGTATCATGGTCCTCATCGACACGTCTCGGCAGATAGCTTTGTCGAAGCAGATATTGTCATCACAACTTACCATACGCTCGCGTCAGATCTCACTGGAAACAGAGGTGTGCTAAGGGACATAGAGTGGTATCGCCTTGTTCTTGATGAAGGTCGGTATCCCATATACCAGTTGTTGTATCTCACTAACGATGATCTTCTAGCTCATATCATAAGACGGCAGTCCACGATACTATATCGCACCGTAGCTGAATTCTCAGCCCGATCGAGATGGTGTCTCACTGGCACACCTATACAAAACCGTCTCGAGGATATCGGCTCGTTGTTTGCCTTCCTGAGAATTAGCCCGTTTCACAGCTTGTCAAACTTTCGGAAGTGCATCGCTATACCCTTCGATGAAGGCAGTAAAAGACGTGATATGGCAATCGAACGCTTCACACGCCTGTTAGACTCATTGTGTCTTCGCCGGACCAAAGATGTACTTCATTTGCCGGACGAAAAACATCGTGTGAGGACGATACATCTGTCATCAGAAGAGCGCGCTCAATACAAGCACACTTATGACGTCATGTTTCGGACGATCAAGAACCAGAATGGTGTGTTTGATCAGAAGAGCACGTTAGGCATGTTTCAGGTACAGCTTCAACTACGTATCATCTGCAATCATGGCACTTGGCAACAACCGTTTTCTTGGAATCGGCGCAAATTGCACCTTCTGGATGAAAGAGAGGCTGTGGAAGCGTCATTAGGAAGAGATGGCGAGATCACCTGCTCTGCTTGTCGACAGACGTTGCCTCTTTTTAATACTGGTACGTTGTTCCATCGCTACACGGAACATTGCCGGCACGTACTCTGTATGGAGTGTCTCTCAACAAGCATGACGAGTGATCAGGAAAGCCTGCCCAGCAGATGTCCCCTCTGTCAACCACTTTGGGACGCTGACTCTAGAGCGCCGCGCTCCAATCATGCGTCACAGGAGGATACCTACTTTCGACCCAACGGGCGGTCCTCGAAGATGGAGGCTTTGATGCAAGATGTTTCCGTTGACGTGTGGAACACAAAGAGGTACTTGCGATAGCCTCACAAATCAATCTACTGAGTCTAACGAATTGGCAGCATCATATTCACATGTTGGACGCGAACACTGGACTTGCTGCAGTTCTACCTCCGCCATATATCCAATAACACATGGACCCACGAGCGAATTGATGGCGACTGCTCCACGGCTAAACGTGAACGCATCCTACAAAGATTTGCAGAAGACCCGAAATTACGGGTACTCATCATGACTACTGGTACTGGCGCTGTAGGGTGTGTAAAAATCGTCGATATTGTGGTCTGTTCAAACTGATAATGTCTCCCAGGCTCAACCTCGCAATGGCAAATCGCGTCTTTATCGTGGAACCCCAGTGGAATCCTTCTGTCGAGAACCAAGCAGTCGCACGAGCTTTACGTCTCGGACAAAAGCAGGCTGTTTTAGTCACGCGTTATGTCGTGGAGCAAACGGTGGAGCAGGTAAGGTGACATGATCTAGATCGCTTTTCGTTGCTTACATCAATAGGATATGCGATCACTCCAGAATACGAAGCTTGAAAGGGCTAATCTCATTCAAAGCGGCTAAGTGAGGCTTGCGGTGTTTAGCGGAGCGATTTTGATAGCATTTGCAGAAGTTACGACAGGCGCCGGTCACTTTGGCGCGAAAGCTGGAAATCGATTGGCGAGATCTTTGTGGGCACTTGGCTATAGCAATGTCCTCTTCTGATCGCACAATCTTTGGGTTGGCAGCATGTTGCAAGCACCCTCATCAGACACTGAACAAAGAATGACACCCATGGAGAGTTGTTCTGAGCCGCGATCGTTTTGCTGTCAACTGTATGAACTTGTTCTACTCTATAGCTATCTGTGCGTCCAGCCTCATAAGAATATCAATCCGATAAGTTGACCAACCGGTGAGCAATTCGCGCTCAGGCGCTAGATACCGCACGCTCATACCGCACGCATGCGGACGCGCCTCACCGGGACTAGCTGCGCCACAATCATTCCAGCTGCCAAGTGGTCACAGCCTTCTGTGTTGGACTGGCACCGTATCCAATCGGCCATGTAGCATGTGGCGCGCACTGCAATCTTGAGCTACAACAGAGGATATCTGCCTACGCAGCAAACCGCAACATACCATGTTGAGCCAACTCGCTCCGAATCCTACGTCAGGGATTTGTGTGCGTGGTGTAAGACGCCAGCCACACTCGTTACCCCTGCCTCACTGTAAGACTTGGTGGCCCACACCAGGCCATATATCCACTGTTTCACGTTGAGAACTATCACAGTACCCTGGTCTTTCTCTGGTGCTTGTGAACGTTGTGTACTGCGATCTGTAGTGCGGAAGAGCGCCTCTCATGTGGTCCGCGAACCAGGCGACCACTGCACCCTCTCCATTACGCTAAGAATCACAGTACAACCAGCACCACCACGTCATTGGGAAAAGTGGCGCATTACTGACACGAAAAAACTCTGTTTATATAATATATATGATACGCCCGATCGTTTCTAGTGATGCGGCGAAAACCGTCCTGTTGAAGACTATCTAGGTATAAGAGAACATTTTAATTCTTCTCCGCCTTCTTACTGGCAATCCTTCTCCAAAGCTCACACCTCGCACCTCTATTACCTTCCCAATTCAGCGCATCAACAACGCTGAAATCATTTTGTAGCCCAGGACCTGTATATTCTGTAATGGTAGTTCCTGTCAATTGCGGAGCAGAGTAAGGCACACCGCCTGTGGTGTTGAGATTAAGCATCTTGCTATGTCCATTTGCTGTCCATGCCGGCCACGTGAGCTTCGTGAGACCCTTTGCAGTGGCCGGGTTTGCCGCCGTGATAAAGTGGCCCCAGATCTGTCTGAAAACGGCAGTGAAGGAACGTGGCTGGCTAGCCGTTGCAGGGCCAAAGTATGCAGTCAAATCGCTGCCGTGTAGCGCGCCGGGTACAGAGTACTGGTAATGGAATGCGGTGCGATTGTTTGTTGCAAAGGCGCCACTAAGCCAGTATGACGGACACACAAAGGTCGCTTCGGCGTAGATGTTGTATGCGCGCTGTTGTATGCCTAAGGCAAATGAGCTGGTATCGAGGGCTGTCACTGGGCCGAGACCCGTGGTTGCGAACGTGTCGTTTTTTGTCAGATTGGATAGCGGATAGGCGGCGAGGATGGCTTCGAGTTCTGTTGAAGCAGATGAGGGGAAGGCATTTCGCAGCCATGCTTGAAGTGCATCGGTACTATCAATTGTGGGGCCCTTCGTTAGCGTTGTTGCCGACAAGCATGTTCTCGCCATTGACGAGTCCTTCTGCAAGAGAATCGCTTGGATGAGTATTGATGAAGCCAGATTCTGGTTCTGTAACGGGAGCGAAGGCCCAATGACCATAAAAATTGGCAGCGTTCACGTCTGAGTTTGCGGTCTGCAGTGTGAGTGAATCCTTGCTGCGCAGACAGGATAGCGTCTCGGTTGAGTTCGCACATCCAGCGCTAGTGGAAAAGCTCTCATACTGTCGTGTTGGGGCTGAAGCATCGAATTTGTGCTGTGGTGGAAGATAGGGCGAGGCAGCAATAATCTGATGCATTGTTAGCAGGGACCTTAGTGTAGTTAAAGGACCGCATACGTTTCTGAATAGTGAAGTACCTAGGGTGCCATTCTTCGCGATACCAAGTAGCGTCACACCACCAGCACCAGCACTTTGACCAGCAACAGTGACTCGTGACTTGTCACCTCCAAAATGATCGATGTGATCCTGCACCCACTGCAGCGCGAAAGCCATATCAAGGATACCAACGTTGAGAGCACCATTCTGCTGGATCTCATTCGACGAGAGAAATCCGAAAGCCCCGAGCTTCGACATAATTAGTTGGTAACGTCTCCGTCAGGAGAATAGACTTACTCTATATTGGATAGAGACAGCAATAAAACTGTTACCATTATCGTTGATGATCTCAGTCATGTCCTGCTGCCCGTTTCCAAACCCGTAACCACCACCATGGACCCAGACAAGCACTGGAAGCTTAGCTTGTTCCTTGCGCCTAGGCGCATACACGTTGAGAAATAAGCAATCTTCACTACCAGATGGCGCCGGGATAACGGGAAATGGCGCAGGAGCGGCTTGAGGACATCCTGGTGCAAATTCGATAGCGTCCACTATGTTATTTGAAGAGACAACGGGGGCCGCTGGTGCTCGCCAGCGGAGGTCACCAACTGGGGGTGCTGCGTAGCGAATGCTTTATGGCAGTGGTCAGCATACTAGGACTTCTCACAACGGAAGTCTCCGTGTGGTACTGAGTTTAACATACCCTTTCCAGATATTGAGATGTGTAGTTGAGTTGTAAGCGCCCTGGTAGATGCCATAGCCTAGATCGACTACCAGATCCTGCAGGTTGAAGAGCGATGCTGCGTATGCGGCCTGCCCACTCAGTAAGCAGAATGCTGTAAGTGCAAACTTCCGACACAAAGGTGACATCTTCATTAAGAGGACTTGCTATTGCTGCATTACTTTGTGGTTTTCCAAGGTATTTGTACTTGCAGCTCATATTACAAATTATAGCTTGACTTCCTATCTTTCTGCCTTCGCCCTTTCCGGTGATAAGTCTAAAGCCGTATCCTGTCGCCGGTCATTAGTGTTACCTCTTGAAGAAACTTGATCAGCAAAGTTATGTGTGACTATTCCTGCCAGGGGGTTACTAGTGCGATGACATTGTTGCCGCTTTTAGTTTAGAGAATTTTATTCGGCCCGGAGCATAGCACTTAAAGATCGGCTTGCGCCCTTTACACACCGAACACTTCACAGCAAGCAAGATATGCAAGCTATAGAACCATGTATAAGTCAGTGCGGCGGGCACGGTCATCGGGCGCTGAGATTCCTAAGCTCTGCCGCATGCCACTCCGTGAGAAACTATATAACAAGCGCTGCCGTCCTGATTCCTAAGCACTGCAAATACAAGCGACCTCGTGAGCAAGATCATCTCGAAGTTCAGAAGCCCAAAGCAAAAGTTCTCTTTACGTTCTTGTTGATACCTTCTGCTTTCTTTGTATCTGCCAATGCATACATGTCGCGCTACTCTGAGTTACATGCTACACCTCAAGGTCTGGGTGACGCGCGACCGCAGTACTGAAACACGCAAATCGCAAACATGCTGTCTAGCAGACGAGATGGAATATTTGCCTGTTTTTCTAACTTCTTTCAACTTGCTTCAGCTGTACCATCAATGGGACCTTCTCCCACAACGTAAACACTCTCTGCTTATCTGGCCAGTTATTGCTTTCGGGGTGCAGCGCGATGTCGAAGTTCCAGAAGAACCGAGAAGCGATGAGTCGAAGCTCAGCGTATGCAAGGTTCTTGCCGATGCAGTTTCGTGGGCCAAAGGAGAAGGGTTGGAAAGCTCCCTTCTTATCTGCGCTGAACTGCGGGTCGTACAAAGGATGATCGGGGCTTAGCCATCGCTCAGGCTTGAAGGTATCTGGCTGAGCGAAGTTGTTGGGGTTGTGGTGAACGGCCCATTGGTGGATTGTAATGAAAGTCTAGGGAAATCAGTTAGCGTTTGATCGTTCCCATGTTTGCGACTCTAAAAAATAATCTGTGCGGGTAGTAGGGTGAAGACGGAGCATTGCGTCGGCAACTGTGGAGTGTGACTTACACCCTGAGCAATGTAGTGGCCGTTGACGTATTCACCCGGAGAAATACGTGGGGGCGTCTCTACAACTGGTGGATACATCCGCATAGCCTCCTCGAGACAGGCATTCAGATATTTGAGCTGCCCAGTAGATACCATGGTGATCTCCTCCTCGGTACTGAAAGCTGCTCTGACCTCTTCCTGAACATTCTTCAAAGCTTGCGGGTTTGTCGTGATCCAGTAGGTCAGGCCGGAGAGTGCAGTCGCCGTGGTCTCGCTACCAGCTATAATCAAAGCATCCGAATTGCCTAAGATTTCCTCATGACTCATGCCCTTCTCATCGTTGTGGCGAAGGATGTACGTCATAATGTCTTTCCGGCCATTTGGTGTTGGGCCAAGTGCTATTCTCCGCTCAGTTTTCACTTTACTCATCGCCTTGTGTTCATTTCGCCTTTGAATGTCTTCTTTGGATACCAGTAGTCGAAGAGCCCAACGAAGCAAAGGCATCTTCAGTAGAGCAATCATGCCAGAGCCAGCTCGGATGCCCGCGAAAATCATGGCAATCCATGGATGATAATCACTGTTATCCAGACAATGGAATGGTTCCCCAAAGACTAGGTCTCCAATGATGTCGAAAGTCGTGAAGTTGTACCACTTGAGCATATCAACCGGTTCTTTTTTTGCGGCCTCTATGCGTAACTGCACAAAAAGCTTGTCAACATACTGCTTGATCAACGCTTCCTGCTCCTTGATGGCAGCATCAGAGAAGGCATGTGCCAGGAGACGGCGTTGGCGTCGGTGGCTCTCTCTATCGGCAGGGAAAAGAGACTGGTTCGACTTGTCTCCAATCTGGTAGAAGTCATGCCAATGGGAAAACTCGGGTCGCCCGCCGCGACTATGCCCGAAAACTTCAGGCCATCCAATGGTTCCGTTCATTGAAACATGGTTCGGCCCGGTACGAACAATGTCGCCGTACTTCTCATGAAAGCGGAGAACCTTCTTGGTAAAAAGACCTCTGAACGAGTTCTCGATGGCCAAAGGAAGTCCAGATACGGCATAATGTTTTGGCCCGGGAATTTTGCGGAGGGGGTGAAAGTAAACCCTGTAGATTGCAAGACCCACTGCGTAAACCACAGCCTAGGAGAACGATCAGGATGTATCTGCGTGCATAAGACAGAAATACGTACGATTTCAAGAAGCAGCAATGTAGCAGCTAACGACTGATGAAGCGACATAGCAACCTCGACGATCGAAGGGTTGCGGAACCTTGTTCAGGCTGGAAGGTTGTTAAGAAGAGAAAAATCCTGATTTTCAGACACGAGACGGGATGTTGGTATTGTGGGTGTAGGATAGTGGCAGGACGACTGTGCAGCAAACGGCAACGTAATATATACCATGCACCAAGGCCACTCCAGATACGAAGTCTCTGTCCTTCGTCTGCTCATCCATGACGTCTATAGCTCAACGGTAGCTATATGTCGCTTGCATCGTTTCGTGTTGAGCAGGAGGTGGACCCGATCAGTAACCACGAGACTCCACAAGTGATCGGGACTTGGCAGGACGCTCGGAACTTGAGCTCACCCGAGCCGCTAGACTTGAACAACGGTCCCTGTCATAATCTCCGATAGGGACGCTAGTGTCGGATGGCGGTTGCTCCCGCTCCCGTTCTCCTCGCAGCCAACGACGCAATTGTTGATGGTCAATTTGATCTGTTACCTGCGGTGTCGATGTAATATCAGTGGGTACATGGTTACTTCGCAGTTGCCTGTGCTATACATATTGGACCAACTCAACGCATGCTAATCTATCAGTTCACTCCGTCTCTCCAGATTCCTACATGAGTGTAGGTCGTCCGTCATTCGCACAGTGGTGTGATTGGTCCTCTCGGTTAGGGATTGCCGTCTTAGAGATGCACTTGATGCTAGCATCTTGTCTTCCAAAGCACAAAAGTCCGCTCTTGTGCGGCCAAAGTTTCCATTGCAGGGAGTAATGGCCAGTTACGCGTGCAGGTTCCATAGACCATGCTCGAGAGAGAAGGTTGCAACGTACGGAATAACAAGCCCGAACGTACGCGTCACCCAAACCTGTTAACTGCGCCGAGAGTTGCAGTACACCTTGTAGTAGTACCTCAAGCTCCTCGGACAGAAGAGTTCCGTCCTTGCTGCCAACCATCACGATGCGATGTGTGGAAGAGCAGTCGAAAGATCAAGGTGAAGCCTGCGGCGCCATGCATAACGTAATGAAGCTTTGTGCCATATATTCGTCCGGTGGAAAGGCCTATGAGCTCACAAGGATTCGTCTTCAAAAACTTAAACCTTGCTATTTTGCCAGATCGTTGAACCCATTTTACCGACATCTTATCCGCTCCACGGTCCACGTTCGAGGGATAGATTGAGAACGACTTTCTTGTTGCATGCGGGCCTTGCCATGCAAACCTTGAGATCATCGCCCGATCCTAACTCTTTTGCTGATTGTGTAATCGAACAGCTTCTCTTTCGCTTTTTCGTATGTGGAAAGCGGCTGCGGACCGTACCGGTGATCCTGAACTGCTGAAGGTGTGCTCTTCTGCAGAACGGAGATTGCGATGCAGCCATCCGGGCGCACCTACTTTTTAAGAGCTCGGCTCTACCCCGCACTTGATCAGATCAGATCTTGGCGCCTGCCGAAGTACAGCGCCTCTCCCGCCTCTCCAAGACCACTTCGCCGCTCAAGACCACGAAATTGTCAGCTGTCCTATCGTATACGACTGATCCTGCAAATGTACGGTAGACCGGGACACCAATGACTTCGTTGGATCTCAAGCACAGATACTGGAAGGTCCGAATCACATTGCCTCTTTCACGCTATAGTCTACGATGCTGAAAGCTACCTACAACCATCAGCCCTCGATCATGGTAAAGACCTAGCGGGACACGTCATCGAGTTGGTCGTCCGCACTAAAGATCGCAGTGCAAGCACCAGGCGTCTGGTTGGCTCGCAACTGCAAAGGTTTGCAGGAATGCGAAACAAGGCAAACGTAGTTCGCAAGACGTCTCTCACCGATGAGACAGGGGAAATCCTTATCATTCGTACAGGACCGGATTCGTCCTCCACGCGCCGTTGCGTTCACCGAGCCTATCACCTTTCTTCTGGCCAATCCTGTTCTGCTGCGCTGGAGATTGTATGTCCTCCCCGACACCAGAGATTAAAGTACAAAGTTGCAGTGGTGTCTGATAGAGTGTCTTCACAGGCGCCAAGGGGTTCGCGACAACATCGTATGCGTACGCTGTGCAAGACAGATATGCAGTGCGAAAGGTTTTCTGTGGTTTAATTACTGCTGCCTTACCTTGTCGATTGCCTGCTTCTTGATCGAGGTAGCTGCTATTGTGGGCTAAAGATTGCAGTGCACCTACCTTGGCGCCCTGTTGCCTGGTTGCCTCATAGCCTGGCAACTAGGCAAACGAATTTCGCAACCTGTATCTCACCAGCAAGACATGAGGTATCGTCGATTGATTAGAACATGACAGATACCATTGGTCGATGCTGCCATATGTTTCCTCTTCTACGCTAAAGATTGCAGTGCAGCGAATAACTAAACCCACCGGTGTTCTTCACCGGTAACGGGGCTTAGCAACCAATCACGCTCGACAACTTCCTTCTGCCCAGGTGCATACGTTCATCCGCGCTCAATCTAGAAGTGCACGGACGGAGGACTCTTGAGTAGATTTTTAGGTAAATATAGCACCCCCCTTCGCACTGCGATTTCTAGCGCAGACGAGCGAGTGCAGAGGAAATTCTTCGTCTTTCAAGCCAGAGATTGTAGCTTGTTGCGCCCGCGCACCAGAATTGGGACATGTTCAGGCCATTGCTAACAATTGGGAGACACCATTAGACCATTGTATGGGAAGTTCCCACTTCAGTCTATATGTCGAACCTGAATGAAAGCATAGCTAAGCAGTCTGGTAATGGCCTCTTCCACGCCAGACATATTGATGCGATTCTTCGTTCACCAAAGCTTTTGGTGTCAACAGCGAAACCAACTTCGCAGTCCGGCGAAACATTATCAGTAATGATGTAGTGCCTGGTTACTCGTCGGCGCTCGAGATTACAGTGCAAAAGGTAAGATGGTGTTGGGGAATTGGCTATCCATTGATGACTCTTTTTGCCTCACACCACTCGTCGCTTAGAGTCCTCCTCAATCTTGGAACATGCAGTACACATCTGCTCCCTAGCGCTACGAAATGCAGTGCAGTAGCAGGCAAAGCAGGCATGCAAGTCGTTGTACGGAATGATCGAGCAGTCCCCACCAAGCAGCCACCCAAGGGCGCTCGATTTTTCCCTACAACCGAGTGCATAGAAAGCCTACAGCCTTGACCTCCAAGCCAACACTGCAACCCTGAACGGGCTCATGAGGGATAGCAAGAACCTGGATGTTCCTAAGAGCGACAGGTTTGTGTACATGTGCATTCCAGACAACCGCTACGAAACACAGTGCTTACGATAGCAGAACGTTGACAAGCCATGCACGCACACTTTCGGAAATATTCTTTTGACGCTGTTCGAATGTATCATACAAGCGCACGAGCTTTTCTCTATTAGAGAATCAAGCTTTTGAACAAAGACGGCTGCGCCTGAATTGTTTCGCTGCTCGAGGCGCTGTTCAGTATGACTAGCTACTGCCGGCTCTAGTTAGACATGACACATCTGACTTGCATTCACAGCTTCTCTTCGATGCTAGAGATTGCAGTGCACAAAGTCTCGTTGGCTCTCTGTTCACCGGTGAGCTATGTGCGCCCTTCCTTGACCGGACTAACAAGGATCCCTCCTGTGCCACTCTTACTTTGGTGGACATTACTGGTCCATATCCTTAGACCTACGCCTACTCTTCTACGCTAAAGATTGCAGTGCATTGTGCCTCCGGTGGGGAATCGCAGAGCCGCATAGCAGAGAGAAGGATAAAGGCACTTCACCCCACGATCAAACCCCCTCCCACTCCGGTCTACATGCACACCCCCTCCTTCTAACATGCAACACCCCCCTCCTCCCCGCCTCCACCATCCACCACAACAATTCAATCTCATGTTCCACCACCCCCTTCCATTCCCCCGTCGCCACTCTCTCTTCTCTACTCCCCACCAGCCACCTCTCCAATCTCTCCGCACAAGGAAGTAAAGCCTTCGTGACACTATCTTCGGTAGCGTCCGGTTTCTTTTGCTCAAGATAGAGCATACGTTCGAGCCGGGTGAGAAGAGAGAGTTGAATGGAGGCAGATTCGGTGTATTTGGAGAGGAGAGCCTGAGCGCGGGCTTTTAGTTGGATTGTGTCTTCTCGACTTGCATGGGTACAAGGAAGGTGTCGTTGCGGCCGCGCGAGGTGGAAGGAATCTACGTCGCGAAGGACAACGAGGTCGTCGAAAGACGGCGCGTTGGTTGTCGATGAACTGAAGCTTTGGCGGGGCGTTGGTTGTTGTGTCGGCTGTGAGTATTGCACAACATGTTGCACTTCATCTATCCGTGAAACCTCCTCTCCACTGTCCCAATTCAGAAGATACGCGGTACTGCCAAATGACGTTGGCGTAGTCGGCGTATTCGGCTCCGTCTCCTGCCCTTGCTCCTGCTCTTCTGCATCTGGATCCCACTCACACTCCGTATCCGGGTAGTCATCTGAATCGTACATGAAGGTTTCCGAGTAGCTAAAGCCATAGCCTTCCTTCTTCTTCTTCTGGCCCGGTTTGGTCAACACGGGAGCTTTGACCTCCTCCTCTTCGTAGATGGATCTTTGCGACGACGACACATGCTGTACCGGAGACGCCTTTTCAGTGGAGTGAGAACTTGGACTTGAACTGGAGAAGGATTGGGTGGACCTGGGGGTCATAGAGAGGCCGGAGAAGGATTGGTTGAAGCGAGCCTCATTCTCGGAATGGAGTTGTCGCTCCACATCATCAATGAAAGATTGGGAGAAGGAGAACCGAAGTTGGATGTTTTGAGATTGCGATGGCTGATGCGACGGACTTCTTTGGACATCACGTGCTGGATTCATGTTAGACTCTGGTAGCACGACTGATGCAGCTCTTTGCTGCATGTTGCCAGTGTCGTTGTGTTGCTATAGCCAGATCAGTCAACTTTCCTCCGTACCATGGAAGAAATGGTACGTACGGGCCCCCGCCATCTTGGTGGCCGCTTGCTCTTCCCTTCGCTTGCGCGACGCTCTTGCAGTTTGGTAGGTTCGGGTGCTGCTAGAAGAGGAAGTGGATCGATGCTGCGCCGCAGAGTAATTTGTCGCTGCTTTGTTGGACCTTCTCTTCGCTGACTATGATCAGATTCGTGATTGTTGGTGTTGCGCGCCGACTTACCTTTACAGGCATGGTTTGGATGTGCATGCGCGACTTCGTGTCGGCTGTTTACTATACGAGATGGTAGTCGCGTGGTTCTTCCTCAAGCGGCGGGCCTCGCGTGTCTTTAAGTGTGAGTGTTGCAAAGTAAGAGTGTTGTGTTGATTGTTGATGTGGCGTGCGCCGTGTATACATCCTAGAGTACGCCGATCGCAAGGCGCGTTCGGGTCGCGTGAATGTTGACTAGCGTGGTTAGCGCAAAACACGACTCTCGTCCTATCACCACGGTGATTCTCAGAGTCTTGATACACTTTGCCCCACTCTTGTGTAGTACAACATCACGGCTGCGATTCTCCAATGGTGCGGATGAAACCTTGTCAAACTGCTTTTTGCGCATGCGAATGGCGCGGTTTCTGAAGACTCTCTCGTAGCTCTTTTGCCACAACATGCAATGGCCGTGCTACTTCCCTCCCTCCAGTCTTGACACTCAATTACCCCACACTATCGTAGTACAACATCACATTTTCGATCGTTGGTCGGCGGCGATTCAAATCTTGTCGCATTGCTTCTGCGCATCGACTGGTATCATTTTGCCAACACTCCTGCATACATCTTTTGCCACAACTCATGTGGGTAGCGCTACTTCTTGCCCGTCTCTAGCAACTCCACGCCTGTCCTTACAACGCCAATCGCCGCGCCTGTCTGGATGGCTTCACTTCCACCTCCACTCAGCCTGTATTCTATATCTGCCAGGCCTGCCATCCAAGTCACCATGACCTGGGGTGGAACGTCGTTACTGACCAGCTCCTCACTAATCGCCGTCAGGATATCTGCCAACGCAAGTCCCTTCATGATCTTCAAGTTGTTGACCGTCCTCAAACACTCCGTCATATCGTTCTTCGATAGCAACGTCTCGATGATGTACTTGATGTCTGAGGGGTGCGGGGCTGCTATGCAGTCGTAGATGGTAATCTGCGTGATCTGGTCGCGTACGATGGTGCTCGGGTCGGGTGCAGGCTTGCCCGGTGTTTGAAGCGGCGTGCTTGATGCGTGGCAGGCCTGCAATACATTCAGTGCACGCCTCATGTCTCCTTTACTGAGCGTGACAAGCGAGTCGGTGGCATCTTGTGTGACGTTAACCTTCTCCTCCTCAATGACTTTGTCAACTAAATTCCTGATGTCCTGATCCTTGAGCGGAGAGAACCTGAACCTCGTGCATCGCGATAACAGGGCCGGAGAAAGTTTGTGTGTGTAATTTGCGATGATACAGAAGCGTGTGTTGGCGGTGTACTTCTCCATGATGCGTCGCAGGGCCATCTGAGCAGTCGCAGTCATGGCATCTGCCTCGTCCAGGATGATGAGCTTGAATGTCGCAAGCGATGAGTCTCCTGCTTTAGGCGCCGCAGCGAAGATCTGCTTTGTGCTACTGAATGTCTTGATCTGCTCTCGCACGACGTCGATACCTCTGTCATCTGATGCGTTGAGCTCCAAGACCATTTGTCGCATGTTCTTGTTCCCGTATATGCGACGTGCGAGTGCGAGGACGGTCGACGTCTTTCCGGTACCTGGTGGGCCATAAAGGAGGAGATGGGGCAGTCGCTGATAGAAGTTAGCGGAGTTTCATGAAAAGAGAAGCAGATCGTACATTTGAGTCTACGAATTTGTTTATGGTAGCTATTATATCCTTGTGGCCTTCGACGTCATCTAGAGAGTTTGGCCTATACTTCTCCACCCTGTGCATGGTTAGCAGCTGTCTGGAAAGTAGATCCTCCTAGAGTCTCACCATGGCAAAGAGTCCTCAGCCTCAACAGGCAGGTTTGCAGCGCTCCTCTTGCCTTTCTTCTGGTCTCCGCCAAATGTGATAGAGTTGTCTACAGCGGGCGCATCCACGTCCATCTCATCTTCGAAGTCGGACATTGCGATGACTGAACTCGTGCTGCCGGGTGCTTTATTGGATATTGAGGTCGGATTGGAGGAGTAGGACTGGCGGATTGAGGGTATGTAGTCTGCTAACAAGAAAGTTGGGGAGACGCGCCGCGCGCAGAGACGCGTTGATTGGCCGCTTAGTCACCCCCGCCTGGTCAGCCCTACGAGCACACCTCACCAAGCGGAGCTGCCCCGTCACCTCCGCCGAGCTCCAAGACAACAAGAACACCGCCAGACACAACACCACATTGGCAACATCACCCACCATGCCCGTAAGTCGCAGATACACAATCAACACATCCGTTTCCAAGTATGCATTCGAGGAGATTAGGCAGCTAACACCTCTCAGGCTTACCACTCTGTCTTCCTCGATGAGCCCAATCAGCAATTGATTGGTACAGCTGCCCCCTCAAGCTTCGCCATGTACAGCACAAACTGACGACCCGCCAGGCAACTTCGCCCTCCTCCCACTCCGCACACGAACCCGTGGCCCTGCCATCACACTGCCAGCCCTGCCCGCCGACGTCACAGAGCTTACCATCGATGCCTCACACGACTCATACGACCCTCTAGACGAGATCCTCGCTCTCTTCCGCGCAAACACGTTCTTCCGCAACTTTGAGATCAAGGGACCGGCCGATCGCGTGCTCATCTATGGCATCCTATACGTCAGCGAGGTATTGGGCAAGATCAAGCCAGGCATGAGCCGGAGAGAAGCTGAAAAGGTATGGTGTCCTTGAGAAGTCTTGTTGGTAAGGCAGGACGGAAGCTGATGATGCGGACAGGCTGTCATGAACATTGCGCTCGACACCAACTTTGCGATTCCAGGCGACGCTGGATTCCCGCTGAACCAGGCTTTCGAGGCTCCCGCGGACAGGAACGGAGCAGAGGTGCTGCGACAGTATATTATGCAGATGCGACAAGAGCTGGCTACACGGTTACTCAACAGGGTGTACGCGGACGAGACCAACACACCGAGCAAGTGGTGGCTGAGCTACACCAAGAGGAAGTTCATGGGCAAGGCTTTGTAAATGGGTAGTTGATTAGGTCGCAGCATGAGCCGAAAGGCATGTCCAAGCTCCATGAGGATTTTTCAAGTCAAAAGCAATGGTCCTGTTTGCGACAATGGTCGAGTATTCCTGTCTCATTCTTTCCAATGCCTCTTTCCAGTCAAAAGTGTCCTAACCGTATTTCGACGTCTCGTGATACCGCACCATTTTCCAGGGTCTAGCCACGCACTGACGTCATGAGCTGTTGTTCTGCACCACCCGCGTTTGAGCGGGCAGGTAGGCGCAAACGGAGACTTTCTATTTGCTTGGTTGCTCTAGCTCGTGCTGCGGCTTTCGCATCAAAACCACCACAACCCGACTCTTGATCTTTGATCCTTTTGCTGTCGGCGCGTTTAATTCGGCGGTTCCATTACGCGGCTTTCCTTACTATCGCTTTGCATGTCCTGAGTGCCTTCGTTCTTTGTTAGCAGTCTAGCCGAATCAACAGATCAGATACCGACGATGCAGGGTACGCTAAGATCGGCATGGGGATTACGGCTGATGCGAAGGCTCACATGTACATAGGTAGTCGAGAAGATGATGAATGGTGCCACGTCTCAGTCAAGGCCATACCCAAGGAGGATTCTAAACCGGCTGTCGACTCACAACATATTGACGGCGCGTCTAACGACAATGAAGTCGGGAAAGATACATCCAGTACGTCCGATTCTCCAAACACATGACAACCCAAAGAGCCACGCTATGCGACTGGAGACGCCCACTAACCGCACAGTGCCCACCCTCTTCAGCACCGCTCTACCCCCCTGTGGCCTCCTCCCCCAACTCGCCTACGACAACATAGTCCACCGCCTCCGCGCCCTCTGGCTCTCGCGCTCTCAAGACCCCTCCTCCGGCAATCTCTCCATCCTCAGCCTCTGCCGCACAGTCCTAGCGGACCTCAAGACCGAAGAAGACCAACCCGTTTCGCAAGCCCTCAACCCCTGGCGCCGCTCCTCCGTCTTCGCATACGAAGTCCGCTGGGCGCGGTATTTTGTCCGAGAAGCGGAAACCATGGACAAGAGACCGAGGATGACGGAGAAGCAAGCTGATAAACAGGATTTCATGGATCGCATGTGAGTTAATAATATTGCTTTCTACTGTTCCGATTGTGTGTGTGTGTGTGTGTGTGTGTGTGTGTGTGTGTGTGTGTGTAGATTTCTGCGCGTTACACACGTTGAGGAGGACACGGAAAATTGATCTCTTTGTTGTTGCGCTAATGCGCTTCTTCTAGGTATCCTATTCCCAAGGAATTGAAGATTGTGGTGGCGAATAGGAAGAATCAGAAGCAAGTGCTGGATCTATGGAAGGAGTGGCATCATAGGAAGAGGGGCACGGTGGAGACGGAGGATCCTGGGCTTGGTGTTGGTGGGGCGAGGGAGGAGGAGGTGGAGGTAGATGGTGTGAAGAAGATGGATGGTGGTGGTGAAGAGGGAGAAGCTGGGAGTGATGGGAATGAGGATGTGGAAAGGAGCTTCGAGGAGATCGTGGAGGAGGCACAGAAATAGTTACGAAAGGTGGATTAGGAGTTTTGTGTCTTTCTTATCATACATCGCTGGAAGTTGAGGGGTGGATTTGTCGAAGATGCTGGAGAAACGGTTTGCGTTCGAGAAGTTGTGGTAGATTTGTTTCTTGGTTTTCTTATCTCAAGTTGGCTGGAAAGTCTCTGTTCTGTTTTTTCTAAATGCGTTCGATACCCCAGCTCCCCGTCCAGTGCATTCATCCTCTCATCCCACGCCAACGACCATCGAGATGTGCTACGTGAATCTGGACAAGACAGCATTTTTTCAATTCTCACTGATTCGTGTCTTCCAATTTATGTCTCCATCTTTGTTCCTCACCCATTGCCTTGATGTGGGGCTGGGATGAGGGTGAGAGCAGGATGCCAATCTCCTGGTTGGGTGATGGACTCACCTTCACTTGGGCTCACCAGCCTGTTCTCGTCCTCCTCACTCCTTAGTGGGGGTATAAAAGCAGGCTATCCCCACAGCCCCTCTAACTCTCTTCCTACTTCCCAACATCTACCAACAACTGCCTGGCGTCGCCTTTAATCACCCTTTTTGTGCCCTGCCTAGCGCACCGGAATCGCTCTGCAGAACACAGCAACAGGTATTATGTTCCGATACCCCATTCAGTTGTTTTCATGCTAACAGGCTGTTAGATCGTGTGCCTTGTGTCCACGATGCCAATCAAGTGGACCTCAGAGTTGGATGCCATCGTGAGTGCACTTCCAGCTCCCCCACAATCACATCAATGATGTCGCTGTCGCTGACCTAACCTACAGCTTCTCCACGGCGTCTTTGAAGAATGCAACATCTCCTTCAACAAGAGCCTTTGTACCAAGATCGCTGAGCGCGTTTCTGCCGCTGGCATGGGTATGTGCATCCCTCACCGTTCCGATTCTACCTCCCGCCTCCAGCATCGCATCCAGCCCCTCATCCTCGACCTTGCCCACTCCTGCTGTTACTATCGCCATTTCCTAAACTAACACACCCACCTAGAATGCACAGCCAAAGCTGTCGAGAACCGCTTGTACTCGTGGAAGAAGAAGAATGTCTCCGGCCAGACCAACCTCAATTCCGCCACCAACACGCCGTCCAAGTCCTCCGCTGCGAACACCCCAAAGTCCACTCCACGTCCCCGCGCCAAGGCCACTCCTCGCAAGAAGAAGCAAGTTTCCGAGGACGTCGACAGCGGTGGCCCTTCCGGGCTTATCGATGATGATGAGGTCCTGAGTCCCACCGCTGCGAGGGGCAAGCGCGGTATGAGCGGCGGTGTAAAGAAGGAGGTTCAGTACAAGGAGAGTGATGCGGAAGACGAGGGAGAGGTGGAGGAAGATTATGTTCCCATGGCAAAGAGGGTCAAGGCTGAGCCGGTTGAGAATGACGAGATCTTCTGCAATGACTTGGTCGAAGACGAGGTCTGAGGAGTTTGCTAGGTGCATATGTCAGTGGTGGGAGGTGGATGATGCTGAGTGCTCAGGTTCGATGAGAGTGTCCAAGAACGAGAGTTATCGTTTGCTGTTTGACGCATAGTAGCGGTGTTCTGAATGGTGCATGCCTTAATGGCAACCATATCTAGAGTCTGAGCTCAGATCATTCATGAAGAAGAATTCTACGCTGCTGCGAGTATTCAATCAGTCTCGTGATTAGTACTTATACTCAAGATGCACACATCAATGATCAGTGGAAGCTTAAAGACACAACATTAAATTTCACAGCTACTATTACGGTCGAAGCCATCTAGAGTCTCAGCTTACTGGGGCCAGGTGGCTGAGTCCCACTCCTTAGCATCCTTCCTGATCCTCGCATCCACTGTATCAGTTCCAGCACCGACATATAAAACCTTCGAGTACACAGACTGGCCCCAGAAACTGAAGGTAGTGTTGGCAGGTATAAAAACAACATCTCCAACAGAGAGTGTGGTAGTGCCTTCGAAACCACCAACATCAACGCTGACCAGACCGTCAACAACCTCAAGCGCAGTGTGGCCGGGCAGCGAATATGTAGCAGGCTTAGCTCCTGTGGCGGGTTTCGACAAAGTCATGGTGCCTTCGGTGAAGTTGCCGTCAGACTGCTGGCTCGTGATAAAAGGTTCGACAATGGTGTAAGAAGAATCCTTGTCGCCAGCGAGATACTTTGGTCCGTAACCCTTGGCGATGAAAAAGGGTGTCTGAGAATCACTACCGAGCTCATTGCTGCCGCTGTGCCAGATTGCATCCTCCTCAGTAGCACCGTTTGCGCCAAAGTCCATCGGTGGGCTGAAAGTCAGCTTTGCGTAGACATCGTAGCCCTCGAGTGTGGTGATCAGACTAGAGTCGCCTCCGGGGTCGGGGAAGTTTCCTTGTGGGAAGGGCGAGTTGGTGTTGGAAGTGTAGTTGTCGCTCGCGAGGAAGTAGAAGAGGTCTTCGAAGCCACCAGGCTGGATCACGCCGACAAGCTCGACGAACGGGTCAAGCAGCTGAAAAGTGTGCGTTGTATCATGAGGAACGGCACCGTAGTCACCCGGTGTTAGGATCCTTCCTGATGTAGCGTTGTCTTTGCTCGTCCAGAGAGCATACCGTCCCTTGAGGCAGTAGAAGTTCTCGTAGTGGATCGCGTGAGTCTTGATCTGTTAGCATTTGACTAGACCCTATCATTTCATAGAGACATACATGAGGTAGTACACCAAGGCTTGTACTTGCTGGGGCAGCAGTGCTGATGAGTGTAAAGGCGTAGTCCGAAGAAGGACCGGTAACTGGGAAGCGGTAGACTTGAGACCCAACTTGCACTCCGTCTAGGGAGTATGCACGCACGACATAGGGGCGCACATAGTCGGGAACCTTAGTGACAATAAGATCCCCAGCTGCTTGCGCTGCACGAGCATGTGAAGTCGAGGGCACGCCTGCAGCGAGACCTACAAGGGTTGCAAAAGCGCCGAGAAGCATAACTGAAGGGACCGAGTTCAAATCTACGTGTGAGCTGCTGTTGTCGGTTGTGACTTTCTTGACTAGGAGACAGAAGGACTAAATAACCCCGACATCGATTCCTTCATCGTATCTCCATGTGGATTGTACAATCTAAACATCGCGACTGTTCCTGGCATGCTGTGGGTACACGTATACGTAACGCGGGTGGGTCAACACAGGGATGCTCGGCTAAGTTTTGTTCCTTCGATAAACAGATCTCGGCGGTGGTATCTATCAAGACCTGATCCTGGTTCTCTATTTATTTGCTTTAGGTTACATTCACCGTTCAGGAGCAAAACTACAACGTAGTTAGATTACCCGCACTTACGTACATGCGCCCGCAGCTTTCTAAAATTGCGGACCTGCAGTACGCGGCTAGCTAGTAACCTGAAAGAGTAATTTCGGAATCGGCCCGCGTGAGTGCTGGTAGTTGAGAGCGGTAGTTCTGCGATGCTATAGTAGTAAACAAGAATGTGGTTGTACTGAACGCAACGCTTCATGATCTGTGCATGGCGCCCTCGGAAACATTTCCGACGTCTTTCCGCGTCTACTCTTCATGGACTGTTCTCTTCAACTTCATGGTTAAAATATTCCTAAGAACACTGATATGCTCAACGACACATCATGATCGGTTTGACACAGCGCAGCGCGCAACCACGGATCTCAGCTCAGCAAGTCGCCGCTGCCTCTCGGCACATGTCGACCACGCCACGTGTGGCGGTGCTCTACCAGGAACCCGAGCCACCATTGATCAACGGAGTGCGCAAGCCCAAGAAGCCTGGAGGTATGGAGTTGCGCATCTTGCGCGTGGGCATTCAACCATGACTGACAGCTGTACCAAGGATACAGAGATTCTGAAGCGGACATTGTATACGTGCTAAAACACCAGTGCGCGATAGATGTCATCATCCCAGTTTCCGCTCCCGATCCTGAAAGAGATGCAGACTGGTGTTTTGGAGATTCAGAACGTGGGATGGCGGACGCGATTGAGAAGGGAGCAACACATTTCTGGGCGAACACCATACTATTCGCGAATCATCCACTGCAAACGTCGCCCAGTCTGACAAGTGTGGCTAAGACATTGAGGGTTGTTGGTCAGCCACCCAAACTGGTCGAATTCTACGATGACAAGTCTTTCGTCAACAATCTTCTCCGTGCTCGCGGCGGCTTTACGCTACCGAGCGCACACGATGTTCACGACGAGCAAGCTCTTGTGGATATTCTTCATGTTGATCTAAAATATCCTGTGGTCGCAAAGCCTGTCCGGGGTTGAGGTAGCTATGGCGTCAAGGTATGCCGCTCCCCAGAAGAACTGAGCGAGCACTGCCGCGGTTTGTTGAAGGAGGAGACATCTGTGATCATTGAAGACTATCTTGCTGGGCAGGAAGCGACCGTCACTGTTATGCCACCTTCGCCATCCACACGCCATGATGATTACTGGGCGATGCCAGTTGTGGAACGATTCAATCACGCCGAGGGTGGGTTGGCCTAGAGTATCTAGCTGCTGTGATACTTGCTGACCGTGAATAGGTGTAGCACCGTACAACGGCATAGTTGCTGTTCTTCAGAACTCTCGGTGTCTTTCTGAGAGCGAACATAGCTCCGACCCGTATTACAGTGATATACAGCGCCAGTATGTTGAGGTAGCAAAGCTGTTTCAGTGTACTGCGCCCATCAGAGTTGATGTTCGTCGGCTTGGAGAGGGTAAGTCATCGCCGTTCGCGTTGTTTGATGTCAATATGAAGCCGGTAAGTCAACAGACGTCCGCTTTATTTGACATGCTAAATTGTATTCAGAACATGACAGGTCCAGGCAGGCCGGGAAGGGAGCAGCAAGCTAGTCTGACGGCATTAGCTGCTGCTGGTTTGGTATGGGATTATCCAACTTTACTGTCGGGGATACTAAAGTCCAGTAGTCTCTTGCAAGATCTGAGAGATGTCGGATTATCGCGAGTGGTTCGTGCATAAGTATAGTGTGTATTTAACTCGATCATACAATCACGATGGTTTGTGTGGTGATATCAGGAAATATCGCAGCTAACAATACATCGGAAGGTGCTTCGTGCCACTGGTATTCTCCATCAACGTCCCAGGAGACACGCAACTCGAACCAACCAATTCGCCGGTAAATCTTACGTGAATCGTCGTAGTCTTTATCGCTTGCTGATGGCAGTAATCCGACAACCAGACAGACAAGATATCCCACAGCGGCATCATCACTGCATGTCATGCGAAGCGGAACAACATGGTAAACGCTCTTTGCCATGGCAGGGTCTTGCAATTCATCCCAGGAGAGTCTATAGCTCACCGAAGACACATGTTCGATGTCCAAGATCTCGAAACGCTCTCGCCTTTTGTTCTCCTCCGGCAAGGATACGCTGAACATCCGAGCACGAAACTTCAAAGCCCCGTCTTCCATGTTTCCGTACGGATTACTGGGCTGAGATGGGGACATAGAAACGCCTTCGAAGTTTATCAGAGTTTCTTTTGTGTCGTAGATATCCACGTCAGGATACATGATCCCGTCCGGAACTGATGCCCAACTCCATGATGGCGCTATAGCGAGGTATTGTCTTCTTAGATCCACAGAGCAAGGATCTTTAGCGTGCCAAGAGAGGCATTCTACAAGATGTTCTCCCCATATGCCTGCAAAGTATGTGGTCCCGAACAGCTCCACTGGTACAGATCTTGCAATCGATGATAACGCTATCAAGCGGTCTGTTAGTTGCGTGAAATCTGACATTGAGTAGAACTCGATGAAAAACAGCCATTTTCTGAACGTCAGGAGAGAAGGATGTTCGAACCAATCGTCATCGTTAGTTCCATCATCGTCAGGTGCATCAAATGCTTGGCACTCCCAAAACACTCTTTCTTCGGTAAAATGTAGTATCCTTCGCGAGAGCAAGCGCTCTTGTGCAACCCAACCACGTCTATTCAAGCTGGACGCGAACACTGAACCATAGTACGCGTGGCTCGCAAACATGGAGGGCAGAAACATAGGCGGTGCTGCTCCGTCTTCTGTCTCTTGAGGAATACTGCATGGTATAACGTAGTCTGTCCCGACTTGAGATAGAAACCCTTCATCAGGATTGCCGGAACAAGTAGCCGCAATATTGCAGATTGCATTCTCGTATACAAGCCACATGCGTGGTCCTTCCGCGTTCCAATCGTTGAAATTGCCATGTGCACTAGGCTGTACTATACACATGGCATCGATCCAGATGAAGCGTATCTTCAAGGCACGGGCAACGATTATAGCATCCTTGAATGTCTGTGGTAGACTTTCGAAGAATGAAACCTTTTCCCCTGTGAATTCTGTGCTTAACATGCAGTCAGGTGGCCCCTTGCCCCAGCGATAAGTTAAGGTACAGTAGTCGGACAGCTGATCGACTGTTGCGCGGGCCGTGCTGATCCATGTTTGCACGTCAAGCGTGAGAATATGATCGTCATGAGAGAGGTCGAGGAGACGGCGAGGAAGCTGTTCCATTTTGGCTGGCATGCCCCTTCTGACGGATCTGCAATCATGGTGTAAATCCTTATCGCCGAGCACGCAAGCTTCCAAAAGCTCACACGCATGCAAGACTGGATTATAAGGAGTCTTCGGAACTGGTATTGCTGCATGGATAGCAACGGGCTTCATATCAAGAACACGATTCCATTGAAGCGACGGGATCTCTATAGAACCAAGGTATTCATCTTTATTACGAGGGGCGACGGAAAGAGCAATCTCGTTATGATAGTCTTGAAGCACGATCGCGGCCTCATTTCGCAGCTGTCGAATGTTTGTTATAGAAACCTTCTCCGGATGTTTCCTAACAAATGTGCATAGTTCGCAACCAGTCGTCTCAGAGAGTCTAACCAACTCGGGTCCTGAGGACCATGTACGAATTCGTATCATCCTCTTATCTGGGAACTCTTTCGGTATCAGGGCTTTGCTACAATCAGGACATCGAGACATCGCGAAGATTGCGTGAGGAATGTGGTCCGATTGAGCTGGTACAACTGATGCAGATGTCCCTTTGATCTACTGGATATTGACGCTCGTATGCTAACGGTCATCTATTTTTTGCTTCGGCAGATGGTAAGACAACAAATCCGATAATTTAAGTGTTTCAAAAGATTAACGATAGGAAGGCAGAGATGGTAAAGAGGCGGGCTTGCAGGTGTGTATATGCGTACTCGCTCCCGGAACGTGATGTATGGCACAAGGAGTAGAGGCCGACGGCAACCACCAATCAGTGACGGACCACAGCAAATCCGCGTAGCAGATCTGCGAACCGAAGATGAAAGATGTGGGATAAACGCTGAAGCGAAACACCAGGAAGAAGGAACACGAAAGCAAGCCGAAGACGAGAAGGAAAGAGGTGAGGGCTCAGCGGGGTAGACCACCAGGCTGAATTTGCCAAGCCCTCTTCACTGCGCCTCCACCGTCGACCGCCCAATCACGTGTGCCAGCCAATCACAAACAAATTAGCAAGGACCGGCACGATTGATATGTATGATGAAGAGAGACCCTTGAGTCACGGGGTCGTATTTTCCAAAAGTGGTACGTTGTACCTCTCCGTACCCGTGGAATGTGCGCGAGACAGATACTGACTCATCTGCAGCCATGTACATTGTTGTGAAAACCCATTCTCACACACACGACTATTCAACGTACTCGTCTTCAAGTGTCAATCTCCTACATACTCATCACCAAAAACCGCAACATTCAACCACAACCATGTTACACGCATCCACAACGCCATCAAACATCATCTAATCATCTTTATTTCACTACGTACTACGACTATCTAATGCTATCCTATGCTACCTAATCGTATACTGGTATCTATAATCACACGGGCACCACCACAATTCCCCCAGCCGCCCCCCCAAGAATCGTCACGCCTCCGCCTCTCCACCAAAACCTCCTCTGATTGCACAACGCCGTGAAAATGCCGAAAAAAGAATACGCTCTACAAAGAGGTCGTGACAAGTGAACCACAAGAACCACGCCATTCCCCCGCCTTGAAAGAAAAGAACGCCTTCATTGCCCCCCGCCCCAAAAAAAAAAAACACAGTACCGTCTCGGAACAGGTAACCTTGAAATCTCCAATCATTCAAACTGGCTGCCACAGCAAGCAATCCTCCAGCCTACGATAAAGTCGGCATTCCTACCGCCTACGATAAATAACGTTATTATCCCTCTCTCTTTCTCTCCCACCCCCACCCCCACC